CATGGCTGGCCAGCACAGGGAACCAGGCCTAAACCTTTAGTCAGTCAGACATCCCCTGAGGACTCCTGCACTGCGAGATGGTGCAGGCCGGGCTGAGGGGACACCCTCCTGCTTCATCTGAGTGCACAAATTTTCATGCACTGGGCCTCTAGTATTAAGTAGCTATGGGTGATAACTCTGACCACTTCTTTGAAGGGAGGTTCACAGAGCTATGAGATGACATAATAGTGGACACTGACCTAGTCAATACGGCCAAGTGGGAAACTCCCTCTAAGGCGACCCTGCTAAGGGTTCTCAACCTGCTGTAGAGCCTGAGACCATCGGAAAACACAGATATTTCCATTACGATTCATAACAGTAGCAAAATTACAGTTATGAAGCAGCAACAAAAATAATGTCATGGTTGGGGTCACCACAACATGAGGAGCTGTACTAAAGGGTCACAGCATTAGGAATGTTGAGAACCACTAAGCAGAGGGGAGCGAGAGGAGAAATGTAGGAAAAGGCCAGACCTGGGCGTCACGGTAGCCACTAGCCACATGGGACAAGTCATCCCTTGGAATGTGGTTAATGGGAGTGAAGAACTAAGCTTTTTATTTTAACTTTAAAATGAGGCAGCATAAATCTGAATATGTTCATTATATGTAAAAATGAGAATATTTGAGGCATTTGGAGTTAAATATCATTCAAATTGACATCACCTGATTTTTTGTTGTTGTTGTTATTTACTTTTTAAAATATGGCTACCAGAGCATTCGACATGACAGATGTGGCCCACGTTTTGTTTCCGGGCAGTGCGGGGCTAGACGGTGCAGACTGTTCTAGGACAATGCGGTGAGGGGTAGTTGGAAGGAAATTAGTTGGAGCCGGAGACCCATGGTCCTGCCCGTGCACCTGCTAGGCACCCAGTAAACATCCCCTGAGTGACCCTGAGTGTCTTTATTTATCTAATCTCACTCTGTTAGGGCTTGGGGGATCCAGAGTTGGTTCTCGAGTTGCTCTCTGCCCCTTGCTCACAGGGAGACCCTGAAGCGCCCCGGAGCCTCAGTTTCCCCGCTCGCAGACACCGATGAGACTGGGTGTGGGGAGGCGGCGGGGAGAGTTACCTCATCCGTCCGTCCGTCTCACCGGAAGACCCTGGCGGAATCCCACGGACCCGGGGCAGGTTTGGTTCCGGGTCCCTCCAGGGACCCTGCGAGGCTCTGGGGGAGACAGGCGACCCGCGTGGCCCCCACATCCACCAGGAAGAGTGCCCTTTGCTTGGTGGTCTTGCGGGGAGGAGGGCAAACAGACGGAGGCCCATTTTGCTACTGTGAGTCCCGGGGTTCTCCGGGCAACGCCGGGCGCAGCCACCGCGTCCCCCTCCCCACACAATGGAACTCTCGCGAGCCGCCGCCTGACGCGGTTGCCATGGGGACGGCCCCGCGGCCTGGGGAGACCCGACCAACGGGTCCGGGGGGAGGCGAGCGCAGTGCCCGTCCTGTCCTCTGTCAGGGGAACCTGTAAGTGACTCCAGGAGACCGACCCTTTGGGAAGTCCCTCAGACACGGCGATGGCAGCGCTCGTGCGCTTCTGGTCCGTCTCGAAGGTTCGTGTAGTGGGCCGCGCCGCGCCGCGCATCCCCCTGTCCTCTCGATGGTAGCGCCCGGGGCGGGGCCGCGCACGCGCAGACCGGCGGTGGGGGCAGCGGGGCGGCGGGTGGTGCTGGCCCTGGTTTGGAACTCGCGCCGGCGACGGGTCAGGTACGTCTCCGGCCCGGGGTCTCCCTGGGCCGGGGGCCGGGCGTTCCCCGGGGGACCGGGGGTGCGGCCCGCTGGAGCCGGCGGCGGGCGACGGACGGATTCACCCCGGGTGGTCACCGCCCCTCCAAGTGCGGTTCCTTGATTGTAAATTGGAATAGTGATTATTCTTTATGTATATGTAAAGAATATGTGTGTGTGTGTGTTTACGTTTAAATATATAATATATTTAAATTTATTTTTATATATTTAATTTTAAATATGTAATCTATATTTAAATTTATTTCAGAGAGAGGAAGGGAGAGGGAGGGCAACAGAGGTAGGAATATTCCCGCAGCCCGGGCCTGAGCCCTGCCCGGGAATCGAAGGGTGACCTCCTGGTTCACGGGTCAACACTCAACCACTGAGCCACCCCGGCCGCGTGTGACCACTCCCTTTAGGGAGCCGTGAAGGGGTGAAGGGCGAGCAAGGGACGTGGTTCTCTGCCGTCAGTTGGATCCACCAGCCCCGGGGGCCTTGTCCCTGTGGGGCTTGTACCTACTGGGGAGACCGGATCCCTTGGAGAATCGATGGAAGCCAGAGACCCGCCTTCCCATTAGACTAAAATAAGGTAACGGCCTTTGGTGCCGCACTGCCCGGCCATGGTGGTGATGTCACCAGCGCAGAGGCACAGGCCGCCTTTGGAGGCCCAGTTCCCCACCTTCCCGCCGTGCGATGGGCAAGCTCCTTAGCGGCTCCTGTGCAACAAGACCAGCATCGGGCCCAGCCGCAGTGGAGCCGCAGGAAGTAATATTACTTAGTTTTTGTTACGGTGCCCTTTTCTTTTTTGAGTTAAAATCTTTCTGGATATTACTGTTTCATTCTTGCTTTGCCCTCTACAGACATAAAATTAATTGCCTTCCCTCTTTCACCCGTTTTTGTTTTGTTTTTTTCCTGGAGCAGAAGCCATGCCAGGGCCTTCCGCGGTGTTTTGGGTGACGTGGAAGCACAGCTGAAAACGCCCTCAGCATCTTGGCCCCCACTGCTGTCCGTCCATCACCAAGCTGTTAGCGTTCTGGTTTGTCCAAGTCCTAACGCGCTGTGCCCAGGCCCAAGGGCCTTCATTCCATAGCTTGTGTGTCTACTGCTTTTTTTTCTCATCACAAACACACACCTACCAGTAAAACTCGCATGTGCACACACCCTGAAATATCTTTCTTTTCATTTATTTATAAAACATATATACATATACTCTGTATTGTATATTGTAAAATGTCCAAAGAAACTTTTACCGTTAATTTTAATATTAATTTATCCATCGCTGAAAATAGCAGTTTTTCTACATGTTTTCATAACATGTCTTGCTAACTGTGATGGATTTATATTGTGCCCTATTTATTTGGTTAATCCTCACCCGTGGATATTTTTTACATTGATTTTTAGAGAGAGTAGAAGGGAGGACGAGAGACAGAGAGAAGCATCAATATGAGAGAGGCACATGGATTGGTTGCCTTCAGCACATGCCCCAACCAGGTACATGGCCTTGACTGGAATCGGACCCAGGACCCTTCAGTTTGTGGGCTGGTGCTCTATCCACTGCTCTATCCACTCAGCTAGGGCTGAGTTATTTTTTAATGATAATTGACATAAAATCGTGTTTCAAATAGTCTTGAAGTTCCCTTCTTTTTAGGTCAGCTTCTTTTTTTTTTTTTTTTTTTTTTTTTTTTTTTAATATATATTTTATTGATTTTGTACAGAGAGGAAGGCAGAGAGATAGAAGGTTAGAAACATCGATGAGAGAGAGTCATCGATCAGCTGCCTCTTGCACACCCCCTACTGGGGATGTGCCCGCAACCAAGGTACATGCCCTTGACCGGAATCGAACCCGGGACCCTTCAGTCCCCAAGCCAACGCTCTATCCATTGAGCCAAACCGGTCTCGGCATAGGTCAGCTTCTTGTCAGCTGGGATTCTCTCATGATGTGGTGAAGAAGGCCTCAGACCTAGGACTCGGGCAGGGAAAGCCCTGCATCTTTCTTTTGCTCCCTTGTGCTTTCATTGTCGTTATCACCTGCCTGCAGTTTCTGGAATATTTTTAAGCTACTTGTGTGTTAGGAGTTAAGACTTGGTAATGTACGGGGAGTAATGAACCTTGGCCCCTGTCTCATACAATATACAAAATTAATTCCAGATGACCACAGTCCGAAGTGGGGAAGTTAAACAATAAAAATTAACCTATGAAGATGTCATTTTTGGAGTAGGCAGGTTTTCTTTTCTTTTTTTTCTTTTCTTTTTTTAAATATATTTTATTGATTTTGTACAGAGAGGAAGGGAGAGAGATAGAGAGTTAGAAACATCGATGAGAGAGTCATCGATCAGCTGCTTCTTGCACACCCCCTACCGGGGATATGCCCGCAACCAAGGTACATGCCCTTGACCGGAATTGAACCTGGGACCCTTCAGTCCCCAAGCCGATGCTCTATCCATTGAGCCAAACCGGTCCCGGCAGGCAGGTTTTCTTAAATAGAACCCCAACACTAATCATTTTTTAAAATATATATTTTATTTATTTTTACAGAGAGGAAGGGAGAGGGCTAGAGAGAGAAACATCGATCAGCTGCCTCCTGCACAATCCCTACTGGGGATGTGCCTGCAACCAAGGTACATGGCCTTGACCAGAATCAAACCCGGGACCCTTCAGTCCACAGGCTGACGCTCTATCCACTGAGCCAAACCGGTTAGGGCTGTGGTGGGCAAACTCATTAATCAACAGAGCCAAATATGAACAGTACAACGATTGAAATTTCCTTTGAGAGTCAAATTTTTTAAACTTAAACTTCTTTTAACGCCACTTCAAAATAGACTCTCCCAGGCCGTGGTATTTTGTGGAAGAGCCACACTCAAGGGGCCAAAGAGCCGCATGTGGCTCGCGAGCTGCAGTTTGCCGAGCACAGACATAACCTAGAGAGCCACACACAGCTGTGTTTAGGATCTAGCTCCAGCTGAGGACCTTAGTCTTCCTAAATCTGATCTGTCAAATGGGGATACTGGGGAGCCAAGCAATGGATTGTGAGACGAGATACTGCACGCAAAGGGGTTAGCATACTGGCTGCCTGGCACAGAGCGAGCAGTCCGCACGGGCAGCCGTTGCCAGGAGTGTGAAGAGCCACATCAGATGCGTGTTTTCCTGGTTTTAGGACAGGGACATAAAATCACTGACCCAACCGCCTGCCCCCTGACCTGCCCCGACAGGGAGCAGTGAGCTCTCCTCGCCAGCCTGAAGATGCCTCTCTTCGGGAACACGTTCAGCCCGAAGAAGACGCCCCCCCGGAAGTCGGCCTCGCTCTCCAACCTGCACAATGTGAGCGTCCACCGGGGTCCGCCGCGGTGCCGGTGACGGGGTCGGGTCCCTGTTGGGAAGCGGGATTCTCCAGAGGCACGCAAGCAGGACAGCGTCCTTTTCATTCATATGCTGTTGCTAAAACCAGCGCTAATGCCTGCTTGCTCAGAGACCTAGTAAGCAGTCAACCTCACTATGATTTCTGGCTCTAAATACTGTCCGGTTTGACTTCACTTTAGTCTAAGATGACCAGACGTCCTGCTTTTGGCGGGACAGTCCTGATTTTTAACAATTTGTCCCGAATCTCGGGACATTTTTTAAAAAGTCCCGATTTTTGGAAAGACCAAAAGTGGGACGTCTGGTCACCTTACTTTAGTCCCAAGACGTGGCCAGAAATCAAGATCCTTTTCAAAGGATGGTATTTGCCCCGTTAATGGTGTTTGGAAGGGTATGGCACAGCCCCAGAGGCAGTTCCTCAGCTCCCCGAGGGCAGAGCTGGGCACATTCCTCTCTGAATACCCAGGACTGGCTCTGATGCCCAGTGAGTTGTAGAAACATCAGAAAAATCCATGAAAAATATATAAATAGCTTTTTTTTGGGAAAACATCTGGTGTATAAAGCAATATGTTTATTAGAGTTAGAATTGTTTGCACCTTCCTTGATTTTCTGATTTTAAAAGTATTAAATGTGCTGGGTAACGACTAGAGGAAAGAAGCGAGTTATTGGGGTCCTGCAGTTAGGAGAGGGCTGGGCCTGGAGCCAAGTGCCAGGCCTCCTGACGCCAGCATGCAGTCTCCCCACAGCTGGATCGGTCCACCCGCGAAGTGGAGCTGGGCCTCGACTACGGAACCCCCACGATGAACCTGGCGGGACAGAGCCTGAAGTTTGAGAACGGCCACTGGGTAGCAGGTGGGCCGATTTCTGCCGTTTTTCCAACAAGATGATGGAAGGATCCCCCCACTCTCCCACCCCCGCCCCATAACTGCCGGTTCTGTCTCCCCCAGAGGCCGGGCTGAGTGGCGGAGTGGACCAGAGGGAGGCCCAGCGCCTCCGCAGGCGGAACCAGCAGCTGGAGGAGGAGAACAACCTCCTGCAGGTGAAGGTGGAGGTCCTGCTGGACATGGTGAGGACGGCGACGGGGGGTGGGAGGGGGGGCCCTGCCGAGCTTTCCTGTGGGGGAGGCTCCGCCCGAGTCAGTGCATCCAGCTCGTGCCTCTGAGTGCCCGTCTGCCAGGAACGTGGTGTTGAATCCAAAGATACAAAGCAGATCAGGCACAGCCCCCACCTTCACGCACTCACAGGCCGGGGACAATAGCACAAAGCCAGTGCCGCCTGGTGAGGCCGCAGTGAGAGTCTGAACGGGCTGGTGTCGGCCGTGACGGGGGAAACTGTCCACACAGAAGGGACATTGAGCTGAATGTGGAGCAGGAAGGAGGGCTGGGCTGGGCGAAGGCAGGCCGGGAAGGCCATCTGTCCTGTGCCACCTGCGTTCCTCAGTGCCTGGCGTTTCCTGTGGCTGTTAGAACCCAGCAGCGGGGGCCCGAGAGGTGCCTGTGAAGGTTGATTGAGAGGCAGAAGAGCGTACTCTGCAGTGGTTTAGAGCATGCGCTCTGGAGCTCCACTCCCCGGCCCCTCGCCCGGCTCCACGCTGCTCCACGCTGCTCGTGTGTCTCCCTGACGTGCGTGAAGAGCTTCGTGTCTCCGGTAGTAAAATGGACTGAGGGCGGGCTGCACCTTGTGAAGTTAATAAACAAGTAAAGCCCTGGGGGCTTCAGTGGGCTGCTCAGGAAGGCAGCTCCTCCTCCACAGCAAGCTGACCTTCAGAGACTGTATCTGTCGGGAACATAAATCATTGAAAGATGAGGACAGTGGCATTCTTTTTTTTTTTTTTTTTTTTTTTTAATATATTTTATTGATTTTAGAGAGGAAGGGTGAGGGAGAGACAGAAACATCAGTATTGAGAGAGGCTGGCTCCTGCATGCTGGCTGGCTCCTGCATGCCTCCCACTGGGGATCAAGCCCTCAACCCAGGCATGCCCTTGGCTGGAATCGAACTTGGGACTCTTCAGTCTACAAGTAGACGCTCTATCCATTGAGCCAAACCAGCCAGGGTGGGAAGTGGCATCCTTTTTTAAGCACCCCCTCCCCCATCATTATGGGAGCTGCAGCTCAGAAGCAATCAATCCTTTAGCTTAGAATTACCAGTATTGGCCTTCTTCTATTCTCTCTTTTTTAATTTTTTTCAAATTATAAGAACAGGTTTCTTAGAAATTTATGGAGGTAGAAACGAGCCGGCTGGACTGTGGAGGCTCAGGAAACAAGTGACAGGAGCAAAGGAAGGGCCCTGGGAGCGTGGGAGAGGGCCAGGCCGAGGCAGCGCTCTGGAGGCAGGAGGGGCGGCGGGAGGGCAGTGCTCCCAGTATTCTGTCTCCCGGAGGCCTGCTATCCTTCCCAAGGTCAATGCCATGCAATCCCAGCGACCAAAAGCGCTGAGTGGATTGTGAAAGCTCTTCAGTGCCTGAGGTGGTTACATTCTGCCCAGTTACAAAGGGCTCCTTCCCGGAGGCTGGCAGGCATGGCAGAGAAATGCCAGGAGCCTTGACCAGCGCGCAGGGCTGGCCTTGCAAACCAGAAGGCGGCCCAGAATGCCCTCCTTTCTAACAGCCCGCTTCCCTTCCAGTTCTCCGAGACCACGGCCGAGTTCCAGATAATGAAGAAGGAACTGGAAGAACTGAAGAGTGTCAACCGGAGAAGGAAATGAAGACCTCATGACGCTGGTTAGCGAAAGAGGGAGAACTGGACTGATCAGAGGAGTGGCATATAGCTGAGGGTTTTTTAAGCTAACATAGTAGGTTAGGCCCTGGGAGAGTTCCACAAATGGGGCCAAGGGCCCTGGCACCCTTGAGTTGGCAACGGAAGGGGGATGGCATCCTGGAGGAAACCAGGATTCCAGGCCAGGGCAGTAAATAGCAATGTCCTCTGGTGGCTCAGCACAGGGGCCAGGCTGCGAGCGGGGCCTCTGAAGTCTGGTGCTCGCCAGTCACTTAACGTGTAAATGCGCTTGTCCCAGGATCACTCTCATTGGACGGACTCTTGGAGAAGCAACTGGAGTTCATCCGAGCATCCCCTCGTGTTGGTGTTGGGGCCTGGCCCCAGTTCTGAGGAGCCCTGGCCTCTGCCCTCAGGCCACTCTCTCTGCGTTAGAGTGTGTGCTCCCCAGATCCACATCCTCTGGCTTCAGTGTCTCAGCAGCAATCACCAGTCTTCTATGCAACACTATATTTTTGTGTGACTTCCTTGTTTATACTACTTCCCCCCTTGTTTTTCAATAAAGATTTAAAAAATAAAAACAGTGTACTTTGTAAAAATATATTTTATTGTCCAGACAGTATGGCTTAGTAATTGAGCATTGATCCAGAAACCAAGAGGGTTGAGTTTCGATTCCTGGTCAGGGCACAAGCCGGGCGTGCAGGGGGCAGCGATGGATGATGTTTCTCTCATCAGTGTTTCTCTCCCTCTCCCTTTCTCTAATCATCAATAAAAAAGCAAAATATATTTTTATTGATTTCAGAGAGAGAAGGGAGAGAGAAACATCATTGAGAGAATCACTGGTTGACTGCCTCTTATATGCTCACTACTGGAGATTGATCTTGAAACTCGGACATGGGAATTGAACTCTGACTTCCTGGTTCATGGCTCAATGACTTTCTTTTAAAAAAAAAAAATATATTGATTTTTTAAAATATATTTTATTGATTTTTCACAGAGAGGAAGAGCGAGGGATAGAGAGTTAGAAACATGATGAGAGAGAATCATCATCATTGATCAGCTGCCTCTTGCACACGCCCTACTGGGGATGTGCCCGCAACCAAGGTACATGTCCTTGACCAGAATCGAACCCAGGACCCTTGAGCCCACAGGCTGATGCTCTATCCACTGAGCCAAACTGGATAGAGCTCAACTTAGTTTCAAAGGCTCCCTCTGGCTTCCCTGGTGAGAGCAGACTGAAGGGGGCAAGGCCGGGACCAGGGAAGTGGCAGGAGAGAAAGAGAAGTGAGCAGACTTGAGACACGCACTGAAGGTGGAGCCCACGGATGGGCTGTGGGTGAGAGCCGAGTCAAACATAACCCTATTGAGGAAAGTCCTTTAAGTGAAAGGAGGGTGAGTTACCCATATCACCACTCTAACCTCCCCCGTTGAGATGCTATATACTCCCAAGATCGTACCTTTTTAGGCAGATTTGTTCTTCAGGTTCTGGCTGAAATTCTACCCCCTCAAAGCCTTTATTAACCAAATCTGCTCACGGGGCACCCGTGTACAGGGTGCTACCCAGTTGCCATTTATTCTCTCTTGTAATCACTACAACAGTTTCAAGACTTTCTGTGCCAGATGAGTGTCAGATGAGGGAAGAATTGTTAGGGAAGGGCGGAGGTGGGAAGTCCTGGGGGCAGTGTGTGTGGATGGGGTGGAGAGGGTGGGGGTGGGGGTGAGAGCAGGGCCAGAGGCAATACTCAGATACTTGAGGCCTAGCAAGGGCTCCATGTGCAAACTCTCCCGGTAAGAGCCAGTGTGTATTTCTATTGGGCGTGGGTGGGAGACTTCTAACTTTTCTAAGATTCTCAAAGGGAACTCTGCCCTCCACCCATCCAAATTAAGAGCTATTTTACTCTTTTCAAATTTAACAAGACAAACAGGGATGGTGGGAAGCGTGGACTTGAGGGACAGGGAGTGAAAAGAGAAATCCCCGTCTTCATGCAAAGGCAGTCACCTGTCCCCAGACACAGGCATCATCTCTCACTTGGTTGAACCCTTAATTGGGTGACCTGGCATCAGTCCATCCATCTTCTTCACTGCCACGGAGCGTTCCCCCTCCACCCTCTGCCAGGTCTCCTTCCTCCCCAGCAGCTCCTTGATCCTCCTGGTGTGGGGGAGGAACTCCTCTCTCTCTCTCTCTCTCTCTCTCTCTCTCTCTCTCTCTCTCTCTCTCTCTCTCTCTTTCTCTCTTTTTAACTATATGAAAGTTTGGGGTTTTTTTATAATATATTTTATTGATTTTTTACAGAGAAGAAAGGAGAGGGATAGTTAGAAACATCAATGAGAGACATCGATCAGCTGCCTCCTGCACACCTCCTACTGGGGATGTGCCTGCAGCCAAGGTACATGCCCTTGACTGGAATCGAATCCGGGACCCTTCAGTCCGCGGGCTGACGCTCTATCCACTGAGCCAAACCGGTCTCGGCTCCCCTCCTTTCACACTTTTAAAAAAAAGTATTTTTAGGTATGACTAGGCTTTTAGTTAAAAATTTTATTATGGCCTTAGCTGGTTTGGCTCAGTGGATAGAGCGTAGGCCTTCGGACTCAAGGGTCCCAGGTTCGATTCTGGTCAAGGGCATGTGTCTTGGTTGCGGGCACATTCCTGGTAGAGTGTGTGCAGGATGCAGCTGATAGGTGTTTCTCTCTCATCGATGTTTCTGACTCTCTATCCTTTTCCCTTCCTCTCTGTAAAAAATCAATAATATATATATATATATATATATATATATATATATATATATATTTTTTTTTTTTTTTTTTTTTTAAAGAGCCCGTTAAAGAATCAAAAGCCATCATCACTGGGTTCCTAGGCTGCCCTTGCATCGATGTAGATCAAACATGTCAAACTTGAGGCCAGGCAGGGCCACACGTTAAGTGAGGTATGCACCTCTTCGGCCATGAGTTTGACATGCTTGATGTAGATACTTAAAAACATAAAAAGGTTAACATGCAAAAATGTAATTCACAGGTGTATACAGCCTGATGAATTATCCAAAATGAACACACCTATGTAGCACCACCCAGGGCAAGAATTTCACCAGCAGCTCCCCAAAAGTTACTCTCCCGCCCCTTCCCAACCCTTCTCCTCAGAGGGATCACTGTCCTCACCACTGATAGGTTTTGCCTGTTTTTGAACTTTATGTAACAGAATCATGCAGTAGGCACCCTTTGTGACATGAAAACTTCTTGTACTCGGAGCTGCCCAGTCCATAGATGAGTGAAACTGAGGGCGGGATCTGGAGGAAGTGCAAGCTCTCCTGCTCCCGAATGGCTAAGTGCAGATAAGGATTTGGATGGTGCAGTGCTGAGATTCTCCCATTCCACAGTCAATTGGCTGATAATGTAGATCATATTATCCTTATATACAATAACTGTGGGGCACATTATAAAAACGCATTTTTCGCCGAAACTGGTTTGGCTCAGTGGATAGAGCGTCGGTCTGCGGACTGAAAGGTCCCAGGTTCGATTCCGGTCAAGGGCATGTACCTTGGTTGCGGGCACATCCCCGGTAGGGGGTGTGCAAGAGGCAGCTGGTCGATGTTTCTCTCTCATTGACGTTTCTAGCTCTCTATCCCTCTCCCTTCCTCTCTGTAAAAAAACAAAAACAAAAACAAAAACACAAAAACGCATTTTTCATTTATTATATAGGCAAAATATGAAAATACGGTTAATACCTAATTCTGGGGAGCATGTGGGAAAAAGGACACTTCATTCACTATGTGGAAGTATATACTTTCAAGGGCAATGAGCTAATACCTAGCAGAATTTTAAATGCCATACTTTGTGGTAACAAATCCACTTCCAGAAATCTATCCTCCAAAGATACAGTAACCCGGTACTGTGCCTCAATTTCTTTAATTCAAAGATAGGGAAAACAGTACCTCAACATACACATAGTGCCCGCTTCTTAAGCGTTAGCTCTTGCCTGTGTTTTACTATACTGGGTCTGTTTATTTGATATTTTCCCAAAAGACCAATTTACCTTCCAATCTCTAATTTATTCCTACCAAACAGCACACCGCTCAGATAAATGAAACTAGATTAGTGTTTCTCTAAGGGCGATCCCTACGCAGCTTGTCAAAGTGCAGGTTTCTGGGCCCCCGCGGAAGCCTCTGCACAGAATTCCCGCGGAAGAAGCCAGACTGGAGCAAACTCCCCGGTTTATTTCTCTGGACTCGCAGCCGCGTCCGTCTTGGCTGAAGGCGGATGACGACCGCCGGCCAGTAGGTGTCGCTGTCCCTCGCCCTTCTGATCCCAGCTCCCGGAAGGGCAGCTCTATGCGCTGCGCTACTTTCGCCTCCTCTCTTCCGGTTCCGGTGTCCCTCCCTTCCTCCCTCCCCGCCTACAGCTATGGCCGCCGTAGTCGCTGCCCCCGGTCCAGGTGCTCCCCTGCCCTCGGACGAATTGCTTCCGAAAGGCGAAGCGGAGAAGACGGAGGAGGAGCTGGAGGAGGATGACGACGACGAGGTACCGGGGCCCAGCGGGGCGAGGCGGGGAGCGGGGGTCCGAACGGGAGCGTCCCGCCCGGGGGTGTGGGCTCCGCGTGCTGCGGGATCAGGGCATCGGCGCGCCGTGGAGCCTGGAGCGGTCGGAGCGGAGGCGTGTTCTCGGAGGCGGAGTTAGGGGCCCCGCCGGCCCGAGTGCCCTAGCTCCTTGGGTGGTGAGCGTGTCCCGGCGCGCGGGGAGCTCACCGCTGCTGCATGCAAGACCCCGGCCTCCTCCACCACAGCCAGATGAGACCCTGTCGGAGAGACTCTGGGGTCTGACGGAGATGTTTCCCGAGAGGATCCGGTCCGCGGCCGGAGCCACTTTTGATCTCTCCCTCTTTGTGGCTCAAAAAATGTACAGGTAAGGGACAAGGGCAAAGACACGGGGGTGTGCCTGGGGTGCCGTGAATGCACGCGGCCCTTGGGAGGGTCCTATCTGGGTTGGAAGTTAGCCTGTCAACCTAGATCGTTGAATGACCTTGAACTTCTGGTACCTTAGTCTCAATTTCCTTGTCTATTAAGTGGGGATTCTTGTTAGGTAGGATCCTTGTTAGACTCATTTGAGATTGTGTGAGATAATTAAGGTATCTGTGGCTTTGTAAGAACTCAGGAGAAAGTTAAAATTCTGCCACTAAGATACACAGCTACCAGAACTGCTCCTCCTGCTTCTGGTAGAAGAGTTGGGTAGTGCATGTTCCTAAAAAACATGGCATGGCTGGCATGAGGAATTTGGTTCCTCCTTGGTGCAGCTGTGTGGTTTTGCCTCCCATCATGCTCACAGTCCTTTCGTAGGTTTTCCAGGGCAGCCTTGTGGATTGGGACAACTTCCTTCATGATCCTGGTTCTTCCTGTTGTCTTTGAGACTGAGAAGTTGCAAATGGAGCAACAGCAGCAACTGCAGCAGCGGCAGGTGAGCTCAGACACCTGCGTAGACCAGCAGTTAATGTGTGGGTAGCGCTTGGGATCTGGCCCATGCCTTTTAGGCACTTGACTGTGCATTGTTTTTGTTGACCTTGTCTCCCCCCTATTAGACAGGATGAAAAATGAGATGCCCAGCTCTGTGTGGTGACTTACATCTTTCCTTTCTGTTCCAGATACTCCTAGGGCCTAACACGGGGCTGTCAGGAGGAATGCCAGGGGCTCTCCCTTCACTACCTGGGAAGATCTAGATTGTTACCTCTATATTTGACCCATCTTGGTGGGAGAAGTTTGAAAATTCAATACTGTTTGAACTGCTGATTTTCTTTTTTTTTTTTTCTTTTTTTGCACCAAAACAATTTGGTTGGGAAAATTTCCCCTTCACTGTCTCATGGAGACTCCCAACTTGCAACTGTGCCCTCCAAGCTTTCCTGACTGACTTCGCTCCTCACTCTGACACCGGAGTGCACTGAAGCAGATGGTCACTCCCAACTCCGGCCACCCGCCTCTCACTAAATTACTCCTCACCAGATCTCAGTGTGATTATGGAATATGAACTCATGCCACTGGGAAGGATGTATCGCTGACCATTAACGACGGTTTGGTTTTGTCATGCACACTAAATGAAATACAAATGCATTACTGCTGCGGTGTAAAAGCAGCCGCTGTGAAGTTCTGTGTATGTTGGAAAAGGGAGGATTTTTAACCACAGGATGGGTACTGTGGAGGGCAGAGCAGGAGCTCACTTCCTCTGCACATTTTGGCCATTAGACCTGTGTCTAAAAGAGAGAAAAAAAGTCAGTGCTCACTTTTGTAATTAAATATTTAAAATGATTCCATGATTCCAACCAAGTGTCAAGCCTGTGTTAGTGGATATGCACCTCAAACTCAGACCATGTTAGGACAATGACATGAAATGCCCCAAACCATAACAGCTCTGTAAAAGATGAATTGTGATTTTAGTGAATTCTTTGTAAAGCAGCATCATACTCTTTTACCTTTTACCTTCCTTTATGTACATAATTACAGAATTTAGGCAGACATGAGATTTATGTTCGGAGTTTTCCATTTTTAATATTTGGTTAAACAAAATACATCTTTTGTAAACAAACCCAGCACAAGGCCAACAAAATTGGGGGGGAAGGGAGGGTAAAAGCAAGAAAAACAAAACGCCTAGGGTCACCCCTTAACGGGCATCAAGGTCAGGCCCGCTCCCTTCCTTAAAGGAAATAGGGCTTTTGCCCTTAGGCATCAGTGTGGGCCCCTGTTCCTAAGCACCAGAATTGGATATGAACAGAGAGACCAGCCCTGAAATGTTTAAGTGTCTTTGCATATCCCATTGGCTCATGGACTAGTACATGGGGACTCCTTTGAAGTGCCATTTGCACAGGCCCCAGCACACTGGAGAGGTTTCCTCTTCTCAGGAAATGGCTTACTATCACTGACAGTGCCAATGGATCCAAGCTCCTGCTTATGACAATCGGCAAGGCTGGCTGTAACTTCTGGCTGGTGGTGGTTGGAATGTCATTGTGCAGGGATACAGAGCTGTCTGTGGAGCCAAGCAAGTCTGGATGTAGAAAATGGTGCAAGAGTTTGCAGTCAGTTGCTCAGACAGTAATGCATTAGCCGCTTGGTGGCCTGTTTCTCAGCATAAAAACGGCCTTGTTGGATTGAAGATAAATGCAGAAAAAGTGCTGGTGTAAACATGCACTCCAGTCACAGTGGGGAGAAAGCCTCGGCTTCATCCTGTTTAACTTGCTCAGGTTTGACATGCAAGCCCCAGGCTGGCTGCTGCTGGAGAGAAGTCTGGCTAGTGGAGCAGCTCTCAGGCCTGCCAAGACCTCTGATCTGGAAGGCCTGGAGGGGCATCCCTGCCTGCCCACCTGCCTTGAGGCAATTACAACCACTTTGGAGACAAGCAGTGCTTCCCCTCCTCCTCTGTGTTTCCCAAAGTTAGAAAAGTGGCCTACAACTATTTAAAGAGGTAGGGGCGGATCAATTCTTGGTTGATTTGTAAAGGAAGCTAGAGAAAGATGAGGGACCCAAGTCCTCTAACAATACACATAACCGCCTAATTCGAGGACTCTGCTCACTATCGTGACTCCCAGCCTAGGACTTCGATTCCAGCTGTTCTCTGCTCAATACTTTCCTCACCCAACCGTCTTCAACTAGTGGAATTTGATGTCGAAGGCAGGCTCATTTTTTCCTGATTTGGTCAGAGTGGGCCAACAGGGAAAACTGTCCTTTTGCTTATCCTGTGCCCCAAAGCCTCCTAACAACGAAATGGCAGGGACTGCTGGAGTGAGGCGGGCAGGTTGCCCAGGCAGCCTGGTTTGGCCATATCCTCTTAGGTATCTAGCTCACCCTGTCATGCTAGAATGTTGCAGGATTCAGCCACTCAGTGTGAAATATTAGAGAACTTTTCAATAAAACTGTAAGGATAGCCACAAACCATCCTTAAAAAGAGGGTAAGGGATGGCCTGGAGGGTTGCAGATGGCATGATGTAGTGCTGCTGGGGTTTTCGAGATGGTTTCCTGAGAGGCCTTTTGCTCTGGGTCCTTCAAACCAGTCACACCAGCTCTGCGTGTCCTGTGTCTTCAGACCCACTAGTTGCCAGGAAAAGGGAAATGGAGGCAGCATCTCCAGGTAAGTCAGAGCAGCAGTGAACTCCAGCAGAGCCTCTGTCAAGTCCTCAGAGGAAAGGGGAAAAAATAAGCTAGGAACTGCCCCCCGCCCCCTTTTTCCTTGTCTCTTCAAATAAAACAAGGTCTTCTATTGCTTGTCTTAGCACAGAGTTCCTACCTTCCTTTCCCAGGAATGAGTAACGCTGGCTGGTTCTTGTAACATTTCACACCTCTGGCCTATTGCACACTGTCAGATCTGGGGAAAAACCCAATGAGATGTTTGGGAAGTGGCAAGGGCAGACCCACTGTATAGGCCTCAGCACATGGAGGATTCAGGGGGCCGAGGTGAGGGAAGGCTGGCAGAACTGTCACATATCAGCCCTCCAACTCTGACGGGCCTCCACCTCTTCTGGTACCACCAGCAGGAGTTCACAGTTCTTTCCTCGCAAATGATGTTTCAGAAATTTCCTATGGTGGAAAATATAAGAGAATGAGATGCTGTTAAAATGGCAAAGTCTTGGGGCCATATATTCACCAGTAACATTAATTTATACCCTTGGCAATCCTAAAAAAAAAAAACGAACTGTAATGATCTGCTCTTGGAGGGTTCCACTTTTGGTTACCCCTCAATGTGTCTAGTTAAGATTTCCAATTTGAATTTCTGCTGATATTGCCTAAATAGCTAGTTCTGTGATAAACGGAACCAGCCAAAAGAACTCTAAAGCAAATGACATAATTGTGGGGGGTGGGGGGAAATTCTTTGAGAAGTTTAGACCTCTCTGCCCTGAACTGGCAGCCACACTGTCAGGTTGTCTAAGTGTAGATGAAGTTATAAGGCCAGTCCTCCAGACCAGAAGGTCAGTATCCCAGGAGCTGGAGCTTCCTGGACTATCAAAGACTCGGGTCTTTCAGATCTGAGACCTTATGATTCTAAGTGATGCAGGAAGTCCAAGAAGCTAGGAATTTCCTTTCCTTTGTCAAAGAGCCAAAGGTGAGCTTGTAGGAGCCCACCCAGCACATCAGCCATCATGGGCACCTGAGCTCGCTCTCGCCTCCAATCCACTCGGGCATCTTCAGTTTGGAGTCAAGGTTGTAGTAGGCACCGCCCACCTCTCGAACACAGATCCAGTGCTGCCTTTTGAGAGGCAACTTCAGAGGACCCCAGCTCAGGCTGGAGGGCAGATTCATGATGAAGCCCATGACGTTAGTGAGAGCAATGGCACTGACATCCCTGCAGAAGAGAAACGGTGTCAGGTTCCCTGGCTATCACACAACTGGTCACCTACCTCCCACTCACTCCCTGGTGCCAGTTCTCGTCAGTCCAGCCTGGTTCAGATTACCTGCGTTTGTCCCACCAAACAGCTTCATAGCCTTTGGTCTGAAGTGCTGCCATAATGACGTTCACATCATAGTTCCCATTTCCCAGCATGCTCTTCTTGTGGGGGGTCACCATGGTGTTTGGAGACAACCTACAGATGTGAAAGAAGGACTGAGACTTATTGATCTGCCCAATACCTCCTGAGCCTGCACTCCCAGAGACGGAGAGCACTTTTGGCCACTGCCCCCCAAAAGTTTGTTTACCCCGTTCAAGTAAACCAAGCTTTCAACCAAGTATTCTATAGTCTGGGCTCTTACTGTCCAGGGGTTACTTCTTTTTTTGTGTGTGTGTGGGTTAATTCTTTGTTAATGCAAAATAATAATTCAGGACTGGCTGGTGTGGCTCAGTGGTTGAATGTCAACCTATGAACCAGGAGGTCACCATTCGATTTCTGATCAGGACACATACCCGGGTTGCGGGTTCCATACCTAGTGGAGGGCATGCAGGAGGCAGCCAAGCAATGATTCTCTATCATCACTGATGTTTCTCTTCTCTCCCCCCAACCCCTACATTCAACAAAAATATATAGAAAATTTAATAATAATTCAGTAGTGATGGAGCCTATTTGCCTGTCATTTAAAAAGTGTGTCTACAATGAAGTCAATGGACACAAAGAGTGTTCCATGAAGAAGTCTCATTTATCCCCAGCCTACCCATTTCTGCCAGCTTTTTTCTTGCTGACTTCTCTGCCCTGATACAAACCTTTTTTAAAACAATGGGAAATAGTATATGATATTTTCATTTGCATGGGCAGTATTTGTTATTCTTGTTTTTTTACATTTAAATGCTTTCCATTTAAAGCTTACACACTTGGTAATCATTAATCATTTAACACTCAAAGGCCTACAGGAGCCCAGACAGGTAACACAAATGTATGAATTGGGGCCAGGTATAAAGCAATAAAATGTAGTAAGGCCTAAATGAAACTGCAATGTATGACCCACGTAAAGCATTCCAAATATACACATGCATGTGTAAAATACTTAAGAATTTTTAAAAATTAAAACATAGCCGAAAACCGGTTTGGCTTAATGGATAGAGCGTCAGTCTGCGGACTGATAGGTCCCAGGTTTGATTCCGGTCAAGGGCATGTACATTGGTTTCGGGCACATCCCCAGTAGGAGGTGTGCAGGAGGCAGCTGGTCGATATCTCTCATCATCGATGTTTCTAGCTCTCTATCCCTCTCCCTTCCTCTCTGTAAAAAATCAATAAAATATATATTTTTTTTAAAAATTAAAACATAAAGACTCAATTGAAAGGAGTTTTTGTGCAAAAACAAAACTGCAGTCTGGTTTGCTCACCAGCTGAAAGGCATTTCTGGCCAGGCAGGCCCTTACCCCTCATTCGCCTCAAGGCAAGGTCAGTTCTGAAGGCATTTCCAGTCCTATTACTTGGCTTCACAGGCCTGTCAGGCCAGGGCCAAGGAAAGGCCATCTTGAAGGAAAGGGCAGCACGTGTGGAGGAAGGGAGCTGTCCTCTGGCCAGTGGTGCTCAGTGCTTAAGAGCGCCAGCCCAAATAGTCTTGGGTTCGATTCCTGGTCAAGGGCACATACGTGGGTTGCAGGTTCGATTCCCGGGCTATCAGGGTGAGTGCTGGAGGCAAACAAACAATATGTCTCTCTCACACTGATGTTTCTCCTCTTTCTTCCTCTCTCTTCCCCATTCCCCTTCCTCCCTCCCACTCTCTATAAATCAAGGGGAAAAATTTCCTCAGGTAAGGATTAACAACAACAAAAAAGTAAAAAAGCAGAGATGTCTAGGCGCCACTAAATACCATCTCCAAAAGAGAATGGAGACTTTTAAGTCAATTTTTAAAACTTAAGAATAACCTTATAAAAAGTAAAAAACTTGATGAACAAAAATAGATTCAGAGACATAGAAGCATGGAACAGATCATCTAACCTCAGAGAGAAGGCAGAGGAGGGAAAGAGATCAGCCAAAGGACTTGTATGCATGCATATAAGCATAACCCATGGATACAGACAGTAGGAGGGTGAGGACATGGGCTGGGGTGGGAATGGCTGGGAAGAAGTCAATGGGAGGAAAAGGAGACATATGTAATACTTTAAACAATAAAGAATTTTATTTTTTTTTTAAAGTAAAAAACTTCTCTATACACAGCCAACATACCAGGTCATTTTTTCAATATAAAACATTCCTACCACTGCTTACACCCTCTAATGGCTCCCCAAACACAATCGACACTACCTCCTCTGGCCTGCAAGGCCCTGGGATCCTGCTGACCTCATCGCCCCTATTAGCACACAGACCTTCTCTGCTACTTGAACACACAAGCTTTCTCGCTGAGGGCCTTTGCACTCAATGGCTGCCACTGTCTGGAATACTCTTCCCCTAGACCGTCACTTGATCTGCCCATTATTTGGGTCTCAAGTATTGTTGCCTTAAAGGCCTTTTCTGACAGTCCATCCTTAGGTTTCTCCCAGTCACTTCCTCTTATATACACCTGCTTTAATTACAAACCTTGTTATTACTGGACATGCCTTCTGATTTGTCCGTTTTCCCACGCTAAAATGACGGCAGGGGGCGCAGTGGCCTTTTCCATCCAGTGAATCCATCACCAGGGCCCAGAGGGTGCCTAGCACCTGATTGGTGCGTAAGGAGTGTTGTGGAAAAGCTCTCTGTGTTTATTGTTATCTCTTTCCCTGAAAACAGCAGTGCATCCTTAAACTGAAAAGAGCTTATGTGCTTGTCTCCAGAACTGTTAGGGGTGCCTGAAGATATTAAATTCCACTCTGCAACCAAAATTTGTTTTCTCTGTAATAACTACCATTTATTAGAAACTTCTGTGCCAAGCCCATGACATGCTTTCATATGTATCTAATTTAATCCTCACAATAAGCCCATGAGGCTATGAATTATTTACATTTTATAGGCTTAGAAACTAAGGTTTGAATGACTAATCCCTGATCTTTCAAGTTTGAACGAGGATTCAAACTCAGATTTGTTGGAATTCAGTGTGTGTGTGTGTGTGTGTGTGTGTTTTAATGTCTTTATTAATTTCAGAGAGAGGAAGGGCAAGGAGAGATAGAAACATCAATTATGACAATCATCAATTGGCTGCCTCCTGCAGGCCTCACACTGGGGACTGAGCCCGCAACCTGGACATGTGCCCCAACTAGTAATTGAACCATGACCTCCTGGTTCAAAGGTCGATGCTTAACCCTGAGCCACACTAGCTGGGCAGTTGTGCCTGTCTTACAGCAAGAACCCAAGACCAGAATGGTGGTGGCCGCAGGCTGATAAGAGGAAAGGCCAGCTGAGCCCCTGGGGCCTGGGCTTGAAATGCAGCTTAATAGGACAAAGGCTCTCAGTGGGTTCTTGGGCACTTGGATTAAATGCAAAAGCAAATGAAAAAAGCCTAGCTCAAGACAGACCCAGTTCCTTTCCCTTCACCAGTTTTTCAACAGTGTCTCATCCTTTCAGTGAACTCTCTAGCCAGTGAATGCAGGAAGATTTTGACAAAGAAACTGGTGAGTCTTCCTCCTCTCTCACCACTTACGGTAAGTCCTTACCTACCAGGCTCAAACCTCAGAGCTGAGCTTTCCCAAGTGTGTTCCCGGAGGATCACAGAAAACATTCAATACAAGGGCTGCATGAATCCAGAAAACAGGTTTCCTGCAGGTCTTCTTGGAACCCTAATATGCTATATAGTATTCACCTTGAGGAGACAGGGTTTATCTTTCATTTCCCAAATCTGTTTGAGCACACAAACGTCATTTCTGGCCTCTCCTCTTTCATCCTACTTTCTGTGCCAAGTCAAATCCTAAAGCTTTTTTAGGCTCATCCTCACAACCTCTCTTCTCCACGGAATCCTTCCTGGCTCCTTTGTAATAGAAAAAGAAGGGAGATTGGGAGGAACTTCCAGGCAGCATGCATGCTAATTGTGAGATTTAATCTCCATGCCTCTTAGCTTGTCTGTGAAAATGGGAATGAATCCTATCTTAAAGGACTATTGAAGAAGGCTGTTTTATTCATACATGTCCAAACAAATAGTAAATTCCTGAAGAAAAGGAAATTGCTCTTCTACTCTTATCCCTCACAGCTAGGCACTGGCAATTTGAGTAAACATGTGTTGATCAAACCGGTCAATACAGGAAATGCTGAGGATGGCTTCCATTCCCAGAGTGGTTATTTGAACAAGTGGGGTCTACCCAGTGTACCTACGACACTAGCACTTGCTTTTATGCTAATAATAGTGCCCTTTGTGTTAGCTACCTTTATAAGCTTTATCGCTTAATCCTTCCAGCAATCTTGAGATAGAGATTAATTCCATTGTGTAAATAAGGAAACTACATACATACAAAGAGGTTACAGTGATTTTCCCAGTCCCAGTGAGGGGCAGAACCAGGATTCAACTTCCTAACTCTGAACAGAACTAAGACTTCACTAAACAGCCTCCTGGATATTTCCATACACTGGCCCCACTGAATTCCGTAAGATCCTGTTCTGTTTCAATGGACTGTTTTCTTAGGACTCCCTGGCAAATTCTTGTTCAGGACTGACTCTTTAATTTCATTAAAAATTCTGAACCACAAAGCAGGTTTCTCACTGTTGTCACAGCCAAGAGGTTGTGGATTTGAAGTGATCTACACATGAGAAGACAGGCTCTAGTCCAGGTCTCACACCTCAAAGAAGTTCCAGATCCTCTCATGGTTGCCACTGTGTCTGGCTATGCTGATGAGTTCAGATTTTAAAGAAAAGTAGATGTGGAGACATTCATTCATATCCCTTTTCTCCCATAATTGTTATTTTCCTTTTTATCAGGTCTGAAGAGATGTGACATTAGAAAATAGGACTTCCTGATGTCTTTAAATTATTAAGTGTAAAATATAGATCACATTAGTACTTTGTATGTAGTAGATGTTGGCTATGATGGAGACGGTGATGTTTGGCCCTTGGGTGAGATAATTCAAATCTCTAGAGGTTAACACTTAACATCTTTTCTCAATTTACAACCACCATATCTTTACTTTTTTTTTACCTCCCACATGCACCCCAACTTTGGTGTATGAGACAAAGCTCCAACCAACTGAGCCACAGCGGTCAGGACACAACCATGAAACCTTTAAATGTGGCTCCTTCCTACTAAATGGCTCAGGAACCATTTAATAGGAGGGCAGCAGGGCTTCCCCTCTATAGTAGAAATTTTGCTCTCCAATATCCACAATCTTTGTCCCTTCCAGGTGCATTAGATTTTTTCCCTAGTACCATGCTAATTTTCATCTGTTTAGATTTTAGCAGCTATTTTTTTTTAAATCAATCTTTATTGTTCATATTATTACAAAGGTTCCTCATTTCTTCCCCCCTCCACCAGGTTCCCACCCCACCCCCCGTCCCCTCCCCATCCCCCATTGTCCTCATCCATAGGTGCACAGTTTATGTTCAGTCTCTTCCTCCCTCCCTTTCCCCGATAGTAAATCCCTTTTCAGATAGTAAATCAGTTACTTAGCATTTTCTCATATCAATAATACCTCCACTTGCCCAATGATACACTTCACACAAAAGACATTTCCCAATAGGTCAACTAGCCTCATCCAGGCCCCACCCAAGGCACTCACAGATCAACACCCCAGCCCTATACTAACTCAACACATCCAGATCTAAGCCTTCACCACTTGATTCAGCAGACCCTCAAGTTCCCTCGAAAGTTTCCAGCCATGTCTGAGAAGCAGCCGTGGGGCAGGGGCAGGCGAGGAGCGAGCTGTTCCGGGCCTGGCTGCTCCGGGCCTGGCCTCTGTTGCTTAGATTTTAGCAGCTATTTTGAGAGGAAACACATACTTAGCTGCAAGAACATTTGATCACTGAAAAACTGAGATGAATCTAGTGAAAATGTTTGAGACCTGAGGATTTTCAAAATAACCTTGCAAAGCTGCTGCCGCATCATTTCACTCCCAAGTCCTTTCTTTTCAAAGCATAGACGTGCATGATAAACTGTATGAGATCAAATGTCCACAGGAACACTATTTCTATCTTTTCTCTAATTTCACATGTTGAAAACCTTTTCGTGCCTTTTTACTATCACTACAGACATTATCACTATCTCCAAATCATGGACCCGGCCTGCCACAACTCTGACTCCTCTCTTCCTCATCCCCATGTGGCTCATTAGCTTAGTTCTTTCTAAGTTCCGACTCATTTTTATTCCAAACATGAGTCATCTCATAGGCACAACTGAACTGAAACTCTACCCTGCTTTTGTATTTCTCCTTTAGCTGGCTAAAGCTCAACTGCTAGGATGAACTTCCTTCTCAACAAATGGAATTCACATTAATATTTTTTTCTCATTTCTACTATTCATTGGTCACATCTTCAAAAAAAGCAAAGAACTTTAGATCTGGGAATTTAAAATTATTTAGTTAAATCTGTCAACTTTACTGTTTTTTTCTGTTAGGACCCAAATAGATCATCTTTTCCTTTTACATTGCTCTAAATTCCATGCTTCAAGTTTACTTGAGTCTGTTCTCAAGACTGGCCAAGGTGTATCACCGAGATGTACTTTCAGTGGCTGAGTCCTTTTCAACTTGTTTTCTCTATAGTGTCCAGCAGTGCCTGGCACACTGCACGCAGCCAGTAAATGTTTGTTTTAAAAATTCCATTTTTTTCTCTTTCACCTCTTCTCCTTTGCTTTTTCTCGGGTCCTTTTCATGCTTTTTGTTTATTTCTATTCATCCACACAGAATCTTTCCACACAAAATAGTCTATACTATACTATAGAATTCTTGGAGTGGGGACAAAGTATTCTCTTTGTGTACTGATTTAAGGTGGATCTTTACACTATGCTGCTAGGGAATTGGGGAGTATAGTACAACTTGCTAAAGCTTTAAAGCCAGGAATAGAACTCTGGTTCCATGTTAATGTTTAGCAAGTATTTAACATTCTTTCACTCAGGGAAAACACAGCTAAAAGAGCCTCACTATTATTTAGTTTACAATCATAGTCCAGCTCTTCAGACTGAGACCCAACTTAATGGCAGAGTGAACAGATACTGATGACATTAATTGTTATGACGTGCCTTTCCAATACTTAGGGAGCAACAGAGCAGTTAGGAGGCCCTGGAGTTACAAAGCTTGGGTCCAAATCCTGCCATTAATAGCTCTGGGCCATGATTTTACCTGAAAAAATGGGAAATAACAGAATCTATTTTTTAAAATCAATGTGAGGAATGACTTAACATGAGGAAACAGTGCTTTGCACAGAGTGAGTGCTCAGCTCTGTTAGTGATTGTCATCATTTCAGATCGGGGCCAAACTTATAGAGGTGGAAAACTTCTGAATGAATCTTGACTGTTGAAATTTACTAGTGAGTGGAACTGGGCAAATTTAACTGAATCCTTGGATCACTATAAGAAGGTTGCTGCAAGATTGCTACATATTGACCTTGCTGGTTTGGCTCAGTGGATAGAGTCTCTGACCGGGACTGGAGGGTCCCAGGTTCTATTCCAGTCAAGGCTATGTACCTTGGTTGCATGCTGGATCACTGGCCCTGATTGGGGTGCATGTGGGAGGCAATTAATCCATCTATCTTTCTCCTCTCTTTCCCTCCCTTCCACTCTAAAATAAATCATGATGAGGATTAACAAACAAACAAAACAGATTGCTACATACTTCCAGGTATTGTACAAAGCACACTCAACTACTCACTGTGAGTCCTTTCCTTCCCCTAGACTTAGGTTAGGTCTAGAAAATAATTCACAAACATCCTTCCCCTAGACTTAGGTTAGGTCTAGAAAATAATTCACAAACATCCAATTTTAAAAAACATGAATGGCTGGTGAAAAGGAAGCAGCATAATGGACTGGCCTCCTTTCTACTCCTTTCAGTTACATGACTTGATGATCTGAGACAGATTATCTACTTGCCAGTGCCCGATTCCTGAAGAGAATTAATTCTGCTTGCCAGGTAATGGCCTTAATGCAAATGACGCATTTGCACAGCTAAGGCATAACTACAGTTATTACTGGCAGAGAAAAACAATGACTCTCATTATAATTTTGTTAACACCCTGGGAGAGCGCTCTATGGTTCTTTCAGGGTAAAAAGTCTACACCTATGGACTTTCACCCCAAAATAGATTGTTTCCAGCTGCAATACAGGCCCTTATGGCACGATAATTTTACCTGAGTAAAGGGAGAAAAGGGTCTTCTGAAACTGCCAATATGGACTGCTTCAAGAATTCTTCAGCTTGATCTGACTGAGAACTGAGTAGGCCTCAACACTGTGTAGCTGGAGGAATCAGACGGGCTCACTGCTTGACCCGGTGACCTGAGACATATCTCACCTGACAGGGCCCATTTCCTGAAAAACCCTTTGATAAAAGAATTTTAGAACATCAAAGCAGAGAGAGAAAAGCTGAACTTCTATCAATCTGTCAGGCAGCATCTGGCAAAGTGGATAAGAAAGGATATCTAGAATGAAGTAAAAAAGGGAGGGGATCAAGAGTTGCTACTTAGAAGCTATTTGGAGGAATTACCTGACCTTTCTGCCTTTCTCCATCAGTAAAACAGAAACAGTAGGCCACTATTGGGAGGGCAACACAAAATATATGGAAAGCACAAAGGCTAGCACATGGTCTCAAAGAAAGGCTGAGCATGGTGTATACACCTTTAAAATATATATATATATATATATATATATATATATATATATTTTTTTTTTTTTTTTTTTTTTTTTTTTTTTTTACAAAGGGAGACAGAGGCATCAATGAGAGAAAATCATTCATGGGCTGCCTCCTGCATGTCCCCACCCTGGGGATCGAGCCTGCAACCCAGGCGTGTGCCCTGACCAGGAATCGAACGGACCTCCTGGTTCATAGTTCTGTGCTCAGCCTCTGAGCCACGCCAGTGGGACTGAGTAGACTCCTCTCTCTAGAACCCACAGCACACCATCTCTGATGGTAGGTGGCTGAGTAGTATTATACTTATCCTGTCCCCTTCTAGACCGTCAAATCCTTAGGGGCAGGGCCGGAGAGGCGTTACAGCACAGTGCCAACAGCACAGGCACAAACCTGAATTCAAACTTGGCTCCATCTCTTGTTGCAGTTTGTTAGCTGGGCAAATCACTGAACTTCTCTGAGCCCTGTCTTTATCCATGACGTGGAAGTAACAACATGTATCCCATGGCATTGCTGATGCTCTCAGCACTGTGCCTAGCCCCTAAGTGTCCAATAAAGAGGAGTGATTATCTTTGCAATTTTGTGTCCCTTATTCCTGGTAACAGTATCCAGCTGACCATACTTGTGGGTGTGAAGGTGTATGGGAAAGAGACATCGCTCCCCCCAGGGAAATTCAGACATAGCAAGAAGCACCCAGAAACCCAGAAGCAGGGGTCCCCTACCTCTGGAAAATCTCCTGCAGCGTTTCCCGGGTGAAGGCGCCGCCGTCCTGGAAGACGTTGTTGAGGGCGTGCAGGGCACAGAGCTCCCTGCGCTGCTTCTCGTGGTAGATCTGGGGGGGTGCCGCCTGGGGCAGCTCCAAGGATTCCGACTTGGCCTTGTCTCCTCTCCATGGCACGCAACTCATGTTTTTCGTTTTGGGTTCCGGAGAGGGCCAGGAACACCCCGCCCTCGCGTCCCGAGGAAGGAGGCAAGCTGCGGGGTCTCTGCAGGATTCCTGAGGTCCACCTTATTTCCTGGTGTCCATGATTTATGCTTTGTCACCGGGGAGAAAGGATTGGAATCAAAAGGAAAAACAATCCATCTCTTCTCAATAGAAAAATAACTTTCGAATTAGTGTTTTTCACCACTAATGTCAAAGTGCAGAATTTTTTTAAAAAAAAAGGATCATAGAAACACTCAAGACCTGGTTCCCTTTTCCCACCTTCCCTACCCGCTTCCCACCTCGGGGGGAAAAACAAAAACAAAAACCCACGGTTTTCTTGCTGTGTTTGCCTTTGTAAAAGCCAACCAGGCCTCAATGCAGGAAGACTGAACGGAACCGGTCACATCGCTCCTTTTCCTCCATTTCTTCCGAACCGCGACGCCACTGACCCAGGAGACAAGGCCTCGGTGGTGTCTCAAACGCAAAATCCGGGCGGCTAGCGAGGGCCGGCCGGCGGCGGGCGGCGGGCGGCGCTGGGGCCTCGGCGGCGCCTCTCCATCCCCTCGGGCGCGGTGGGTCCCCGCGTGGCGCGGGCCGGGGCGGGCGCGGCTCCCTGGGAAAGCGCGGTCTCTCCCCTTCTCGCCGCCGCCCTGCGGGGGAGACAGCCCCGGTCAGCGCCGGCGGCCAGGCGGGCCCCGCAGGGCGAGGACCGGGGAAGCCAGGAAGCGGCGCGGCGGGTCCGGCCCCAGCCCCAGCCCCAGCCCCAGCCCCAGCCCCAGCCCGAGGGAAGGTCCGGAGCTGGGACGGGCCGAGCCGCGAGGGGTGGAGCCGAACAATTCTCCTCACCCTCGGGGGCCCACCCGTCCCGCCGCCGCCCCCACCCAAGCCTCCCCGCCGGTCACGTGAGTGCAAGTCCAGGGCCCCTCCCCGCACCCCCCAGATCCCGGCCCTCGCCGCCAACTCGCGTCCGCGCCGCGAGGCGCCCCTCACCGTGGCAGGCCGCCCCCGGGAACTGCGGGCCGCCACCTGGGCCGCGCTCCGGGAGCGCGCGCACCTGAGCCCGACGTCAGCGGCCACGCCCAGCGCGTGCCCCGGAAACGCCCTCCAGCGCCGACCGGCCCCGTCCCGACGCGGCGTCACGTCTGACGTCAGCCTGACGTCAGCGGCGCCGGCGGTGGGGTCCGCGGCCGCCGCGCGCCGGCTGACGGGGCTCCAGTGGCGTTTGGGAGACCTGGTCCGTGCGGGCCCGGCAGCAGGGAGCGGAGCTGGCGCGGCGTTTCTCCGCTCCGGTCCTCGCCGGGCGGGGCGGTTGCGGGAGTCCCGCCTCGGCGCCCGCCGCTCCCAGGCCCGTCCCTCCCCCGGGCGTCGGCGCCGTCCCCGGGCGGTGACCCGGCCTGCGGGCGCACTTGGCGGTCCTCCCCGCCCGCCCCTCTGGCCGAGCCGGGTTGGCTGAGGGGGAGCGCTTCCGCCCGCCCGGCCCAGCGAGTCCCGCGCTGGCCGTTTTGTGTTAGTGCGGCGAGCTGTTCACCGGTGATTTCCAAGCACCTAACGGCACGGTCGGGCCAGATTCTCCACGCTCCCCGGAGTGAGGAATCCGATCTCAGGTCCTGCGTGTCCTGTGCGGTTCCCTGCACACAGCCCCCTGTCTCTCGTCCTCCCGGCCGCTGCCTCGGAGCTTTCCTCCGGGTTTTCTTAAAAGGTCTGTCTAAGGCTAAGCCGTAAGGGTAAACTCAGTCCCGGCGGATTTCCCTCCCTTTGGCTGCCCCGAGGGCGTGTGGAAGGCATCACCAAATATTCACTATCCACCTTAGCTGCCCTTCTTTTGGATTTTTGTTCAGAAAAGTGGGAAAACAATAAGGCTGACGCTCGATCCCCGGTTTGGCTCAGGGGATCGAGCGTCAGCCTCCGGACTGAAGGGTCCCAGGTTCGATCCCCGTCACCTTCCTTGTATCTTGGTTGCGGGCACATTCCCAGTGTGTGTGTGTGTGTGTGTGAGAGAGAGAGAGGGGGGGGGAGGGGAGAGGGAAAGGGTGCGGGAGGCAGCTGATCGATGTTTCTTTCTCTTTCATGGGTATTTCTAACTCTCTTTCCCTTCCTCTCTAAAAAACCAATAAAATATATTTTTTGGGGGAAAAAAGATCACGCTTACAATTCCGTCACTTCTTCAACCCTGCTTCAACAGCACTCAACACTATTACATTCAACGGAGTTATCACTTAACACGTTTGAGGACCCACTATGCGGGTTGGAGTCCTCCAGATAACTTTTGGATTACCTTAAATTTTTGTAAGCCTGCTAAGAGTTACAGATACATTTACATAAGATTAGTTATTGAGGCTTGCATGCATTGTTCTAGGTGCTTCACAAATATACATTTACTTACTGGTAACTTCTGTGAGGTATTTTTTTAGATGAGAGAACCAACGCTCAGGTTAATTAACTTGCTCTAGGTCACATAGCTAGTAAGGAGCCCAGGCTCTAACCTGTTTTTAGAAAAAGGATGTAAGATGGGTAGGGAATTCCCTGTATAAAATGTGACTTTAGATTTCTCTATTCAAGAAGCGCCTACTCTGCGAATAGGACAGAGCCCTATGATGAGAAGAGCATGCTTTAAAAAAAAAAGTTTCCATTGATTTCAGAAAAAGGAAGGGAGAAGGGAGAGAGGTAGGAAACATCCATGATGAGAATCATTGATTATGATCGGCTGCCTCCTGTTCGCCCCCTACTGGGGATCAACCTGAAACTCATGCCTGTATCCTGACGGGGAATCCAAGGGTGAGCTCTTGGTTCATGGGTTGGCACCCAACCATTGAGCCACACCTGCTGGGCAAGAGCATGATTTTTAGTATCCATCCTGTGTCAGCATATTCTGAACTTGAACTCCTTCTGGACAAGCCCGTTTATTAGTAAAATATTAAATATCAACTATTCTAAAGTACAATGCCTTGATAGTTTGCTTTTCTGACAAACCAAGGTTTTATTTGTAACTGTCTCATAGGGAAATACATGGGACAGTGGTGAGCAACTTAGCCAATCACAAAGGAAAAAACACATTCAAAGAACTAGTACCAAGACATTTGGAGTTGGATGGCTTCTTGCCCAGGGTTCCCAGCTGTTTGTACACTGAAGACTTGAAAACAAGAACAAAACGAGGTTGCCACTTTCCTTACCAAAACGGAAAGCCATTCTTTGGTTCACTAAATCCTGTGTTCCAAACCCTGAAGCTTGGACGGCTGCTTTCTTGCTTGCTCCTTGGGACCAGGGGCCTAATCCCTAATTTCCTCAAACTTTTCAGACTTTTGAAACAGGAATTCAAGATACTAAAACTTGGTTGATGGTGTTTTGGATTGGGACTTTCCACAAGTGATGATACTGAAAAAAATAATCCATAGGAAACTACCTTAAACAGACTCTAGCTAGATCTCAGGTCCACAGTTCATAAATCTGGTGACGCCGAAACCGGTTTGGCTCAATGGATAGAGCGTCAGCCAGCGGACTGAAGGGTCCCAGTTTGATTCCATTCCGGTCAAGGGCATGTACCTTGGTTGCAGGCACATCCCCGGTAGGGGGCGTGCAAGAGGCAGCTGATCGTTGACTCTCAGATGTTTCTATCTCCCTTCCTCTCTGTAAAAAAAAAAATCAATAAAATATATAAAAAATAAAAATAAATAAATGTGGTGGGATGTGTTTAAGAACAAAAGTTCAACCGAGTAAATTTGAAAGTCTGGCTTTATTAAATGATTCACGAATTGGCAGTAGCAGCTCATCTAGCAAATAGAAGGAAGCCCCACGTAGTTGTACAAAACGGAAGATTCTTATAGGCAGGAGGGTGGGCCAAGGAGGTTGAAAGAACGGGTTGTTTCAGACTAGGTTACCTTGCTTTGCGGGAAGGCAGAGGGATCTTTTCAGGCAGCAAGTGATCAGGAAATTGCAGACTGATTTAAAATGTCACTCCTCGGGAGAGAATAAAACTGCATACTGCGTCTTGGTGCAGCTTACCACAGTGGCTCCGTTTTGGGTCTATTTCTTTTTAACAGGAGCTTCTGGCTTCTGTTAAGCTTGCTGCCTCTTTTTTGGTCGTGTAATTGCTCTCTCCGCAGAGACAGTGAATGGAGAATTCTCCCTAAGGTCAGCGTTTCATTAATTGTCTTGCCTTGCTCTGGCTGCTATAGTATTCCAGGCATCGATCCAATCCTACCATCAAAATTGCCTGGAGATTGCCACCAGATGGGACCGAGGTCTCCCAGGGACTGTCCTGAGCCATTGAGTTGAGTGGGACGTGCCTTGTGCAGTTTACTATCTCCGTGGGCGGTGGCCCAAGGCGCGGGACCTATCCGGTGACCGGATTGGGCCTTGCCCCTATCCATCATCCGAAGGCTCTGGCGCCGACTGTTTGAGCACCGCCTCTGGAAACGAGGGGCGGGAAGATAGGTGAAGGTAAACGTTGTGTGTATTTTTCTCCTCATTGGGTGGCTTCTGTGTCAGTCATACTCTCCCCTGCTCCCATTGGCGGGAAGGCTCCTGGCTGGTAGCGTGGACACAGTGCTGCCCCGCCCAAGTGGCGATCCGGGCGCGTGACGTCTCAGATATTTGTTGTTGGGGCTAGGGCCTCATTAATTATTCACGAGGTACTTGAAAGCGCGGCAGCGATTGGTGGCTAAGAAGCCTGGCCGATTGTTTCTGAGCCAGCGATAGGTGTCGCTCTCCACGCGGCCGAAAGAGCTGCGCATAAATTACCCCGATGAGGCGTGGGGCGGGGCCGCGCATAGATTAGGCAAATGAGCAGGGGGAGGGCCGGGAGGCCGGGTACGAATTAGCCTAAGTTATTAAAGATGGCGGCGGAGCGGAGTCGCTCCCCGATGGACTCGCCGGTCCCGGCCTCTATGTTCGCCCCGGAGCCCAGCTCCCCGGGGGCGGCCAGGGCCGCGGCGGCGGCCGCCCGGCTCCACGACGGCTACGACTCGGACTGCAGCGAGGACGGCGAGGCGCTCAACGGCGAGCCGGAGCTGGACCTCACCAACAAGGTAGGCCCGGGCGCCGGCAGCCGCGCTAAATGGGACCAGGTGCCCGGGGACCCGGAGGTGGGCCGAGCCGTTTCCCGGGCGACTGCGGGGGCGGGAGCGGGAGGGGCCGAGCCCGCCCACCTGCCGCTGCGGACGGCGCCGGGGGTTCCCGGGCGATGGGCGGCCCCGGGCGGCCCCCCGCCGCCGTCCTTCTCCCGGCGGCTCCGACCCGGCCTCCCGCCGTCCGGCTCCCGGGGAGATCGCAGCCCCTCGACTCCGCCACGTGGAACTCGGGTGCCCGACACCGGCTGCGCCCCGCGCGGTGCCACCTCCTCCGATGCCGAGAGGGGCCCCCTGGACTGTCCGCGGCAGCCGGGCGCCGGCGGGGCTTGGGCAGGGGAGTGGAGGCGCGGGAGGACCAGGTCCGAAGCGGGGCGGGGAGGCGTCTCTTCCTGGCGTCGGGAAAGGAAACAGAAAGTAGTCGCTCAGCCGGGGAGAAGGATGGCTGAGCTATGTCTGCTTTGCAAATCCACCCAAAACCAAATTGAAAGCTGGACCGGACCTGTAATCTCGCCCTCCTGGGAGTGGAACCACAACTTGTATGAATGCAATAATGAAGGGCGTTTCAAATCGTGTCCTCTGAGCTCTTGAGAAGGTGGGCAGGAGTGAAGGTCTGACCTGCTTGGCATCGTGGGGGGTGAAAATTAAGTATAAGATGTGACTATGTTTTGAAGGCGCTGAAGGGAAAGAATACTAACTTGGGAGCCAGACAGGATTGGGTTCTGGTAAAAAAAAAAAAAATAATAATAATAATAATAAATTAAAAATAAATAAAAATAAAAAAAGGAAAAGAAAAGAAAAGAAACAGGCCCAAGGTGGGGTCACTTGCTCCCTTGACAGTAAAACAAGACTTAATTGCAGTTTCAGCCCCTCCTAGGTGTGGAATATGGGGCTGGAGATTGCTAGATTTCCTCCTGGACACTAGACAGGTAACCTGCATAGGAGCCCTCTGCACCCTTCCCCACCAACATTAGTCAGCTGGCCTGAACAGTCTTTTCTTTGGCTAATAACTTTATATATACGTATAATCGTATGTGCCCAGGCATGAATAGCTCTGGCCACCAACACAGGCACCAAGCTAGGTTGAACTAACTTTGTCCCTGACTGATATAAGAGCAACACCCACCAATCATGTGTCTCCTTGCCCATTGCCAGGGGGTCTAACAACTCTCTATCTGGCCCACTTTTACCCACTAAGAATCTTCCACTTTTACTACTCAGAGCGGGTCTCTTTTTAAAAAAAAATATATTTTATTGATTTTTTACAGAGAGGAAGGGAGAGAGCTAGAGAGCTAGAACCGTCAATGAGAAACATCGACCAGCTGCCTCTTGCACACCCCCTACTGGGGATGTGCCCGCAACCAAGGTACATGCCCTTGACCGGAATCGAACCTGGGACCTTTCAGTCCGCAGACCGACGCTCTACCGCTGAGCCAAACCAGTTTTGGCTCAGAGCTGGTCTCTTATTTGCCAAGTGGGATGCTGCACAGTTCATGCATCACTAATAAAGCCAATTAGATCTTTAAGTTTATTTGGTTGAATTTTGTTTTTTAACATTCTTTTCCTGCCTTGCCACTTACAAAGGCTCTGTGACCTTAGGAAAGTTTCGCTTCTCAGTTCTTCGGCTACATGATCTTTTACATACAGATGGTTGCAAAAATGAGAGATGCATATAAGACACCTAGTACAGTGCCTAATACACAACTGTTGAGTAAATGAAGTGAAGTGAAGAACTGATCATTCCCTATGCAGTTTAAGAGCAGCGGATGGAAGATAGAACACCAACACCAATAAGTTCTGCACTTGCTATAATCCTACCTGTTGCTGGAAAATTGCAAGAGATGTTTGTGACCTTACACAGCCTTTGGGGGCAAAATTGCATGAAACTTGGCCCATACTGGAGAAAACTTGCCCCTGCAACCTCAGCAACCAAGTTTCAATTGCTCTTTCTCTCTTGAGTGATAGCTGAGCTCTTAGAAGCCAGGGGTCGTATCTGGTGCCTATAATGCCATAAGGAGGATGGCCATGCCGGGAGAGAGGAAGGTCTGGGATACGTGGGAGGCATTGTGACAAGATGCAAAAGACCCAGGCAGCACTCAGGTCACAGGTACAAGCTCGGATGAGTCAACTGGAGAGTTGTGAGAGAGGTGCCTGACTCAGGCAGACCAGCTGGATGTCAATTCACGGTCAAGTTGCTGAAGAAACCTGGAAACAGTGGGAAATTGCAGGGCAGTGTTGCAAAGAGAGTAATACCTTCGTTTCCTGATCAACTTCTTTAATGTTCCAGAATAGCGAAGTGGTTCTTCATCACATAGCTGGGGAAGTCCACCTCATTATCTTAAAGTTGAGAAACTGTATGTATATAAATATTGGTGATATTGAGAAGAAAAATGACCATGTAGAGAGAGAAAAGGAATGGGTTGATAGATTGAGTCTTGAGGAAAAGATTAGAAGCTGTAAGTTCTGCACTTGCTATAATTATATGTGGAGATCTAAGGCTTTGAAAGTTTTCCAAGTGAGAAATAATTAGTGGCTAGTTTCATCCAAGAAGGTTTTTTGTTTGTTTTTTTGAATGATTGTGAAGAAAACTATACTTACCACTCACTGAGCTTTGGACTAGATGCTTACATGTTACATGTGGTGTGGCCTAAAGGTGCAGGTGGTATTATCTACATTTTGTAAATTGGAAAAAAAAAATGAGACTGAGAGAGATTAAGCTCTTTGTCCAAGGTCACCCAAGAATGCTGGAGAATGGCTATTGTTAAATGACCTCTCCAAATAAGTGGTTGATACTTTTAATGTTATTGCCACAGATTTATAAAATGATCGTGCTAATGCCCATCTTAGTGGTAATGGTGTTTTGTTGATGAAGAAATAAAAAAAACAAGATAGCCAAGGGAAAATGGAACAGAATTCTTTTGTTATTATGGCAACCATCGGTCTAGGGTGGAGGGCATGGAGGTATAGAGAGCTTTGTCCTATGAGTTGCAAGCTGTAGCTAGAGACTTGGGCACGTGGGTGTGCAGCATTGCTCATCAATTTCTACCCACAGTGTCAGATTCTCAGTCACTGTTAGTCCTTCCCCTCCTGGTAAGCAGCTGGAGGCAGGCTGCTCACACCCTCTTTTCTGGGGTGTGTTTCAGAGTAGTCATTTTAGTACATAATAACTTCAACACATATGAGGCCTTAGGCTCAAAGGCTGTGTAAGGACGTCAGAGGGCAGGACGGGGCTGTGTAGCTGTTTTAGATTAGGGTGTCGTGGGGTTCAGTCAGGACTTTGGCTGTGGTGCTCTTCTAGGAAGTGTGGTGCTAAGGCTGTTGGTTTCTTTTTCTAGCTGGTTCTAGTGAGCCCTACATCAGAGCAGTATGACAGCCTACTTCGGCAGATGTGGGAGAGGATGGACGAGGGATGCGGAGAGACCATATATGTCATTGGGCAGGGAGCAGGTGAGCATAGTTTTCCTTTCCCTTTACTTTTTAAACATTATTTAGAGCACATTTCCCATCTTTTACCCATTTCCTTGATCAGTGTCTGCAGAACTGTTTGGGAGGATATAAAAGTATCATGTGATAATGTTAATTCCCACCTTTTTGGTCATAATATGCTTGACTTGAAAGATTCACTTTCCAAGCGGTTTTACAGATGCTTCTTTCTGCCTCCATTTGCATAAAGGGGAAGGAAGCACAAAGCAAGGGAACGCCTGCCCAGGTATAGAGCAAGCCGTGGGCCTAGAACTCAGGCAGCCCACTTTACAGTGCCCACTGCTACTTACTGTCTGCTTAGCAGGGAACTTAGGGGATCCTTCTTGATATCAGCAAGGAGGAGACACCGGAATTTTCTCTTCAGCAAGGCTGTCTTGCCCCACACCACACTGACCACTCAGTCCTGCACGCTGACCACGCAGTGTGGATAATTGTGCTAACAGAAGCCCCCTCTTCTCCCTGGGAGATCCCATCAGACGTGTAGACTCTGTAGCATTCTGGAAGGAACTGGTTATTGTACTCCAGCCTGCTTATTTCACTGTTATGGGGCTGTTGCAGAGGAGGGCAGCTTCCATAACAGAATCCCACTATGTCTTGGGTTTTCCCCCCTCCCCCCCCAGTGATTCCTTCTTTATCCTTTCAACAACAAGGCCTACTGCCTTCATCTTCATTATGACACTGTGCTGGAATGACAACTGGGCTTCTGATGAGTATGAACTTAGCCTGTACCAGACTTGTCTGTCATCTTTGCCGGCAGCCTCAGTGGGGCTGGGTGCATCATTAAAGGAACAGCTCTCTTTGTGAATGTAGGCTTTGTAAAGGCAGATAATAATTCTTTTGTTGACAGTTTAAGATGGAGAAGATCTCAATATCCTTCTTTATTTGGCAAATACCTATTAAGTATCTTCTGAGAGCTTGATACTGTTGCAAAGTAGTTTTGGATATTGAAATCTGGTCCCTGTCCCAAGGAGGAAAGATAGCATACATACAAATAACTTCAGTAGAGAACAGTATTTGGAAATGCTCAAAAGTGACACAAAGAAGAAGGGCTTGATCTCCAGTTACTGCTGCGCCTTCCTTTGAAATGTTTTTCTTATCTGTCCTTTCCTTTCCATCTTTGCTGCCACCGCTTGGTTTTGGCCTTATCACCCTGTGCATGTTGGGAAAGGGAGGGGGTTGGTTAACATTGTCAAGTGCTAGAGAGACGGCCAAGGAGAGCTGGGTTCAGGAAAAGCCACTCGCTTGGTGATCATTGCTAGTTTGAAACCTTTGTGTCAGGCACACAGTAGGCCTTCTCTGATAGGATGGACCATCAGAGACCACTTCACGCTTGTAGAACTGAAGAAACCACATCCAGATCAATTTTGACAAGTTGGGGGACTGTTCTTCGAAGACCCTCCTCTGCCCCCAGTTCTTTAATGTGGACTCTTAGTGAATTTTCCCATAACCTGGCGGCTGACAACTAATTAACCCGTTCATGACAAAGCATACGATGTCAGACATTCATTAACACATCTACACACCCAGGCATTATCTTTGCATCTATCAACTGGATGTTATTAGATCCACAGTGACTCCTTCCTGCTGGAATTATGTCGAGGTCATAACTAGTTAAACAAGCTGAACATCAAACAGGACGAAGCCAGATGGGAGGCCCAGGGGTCGGCTTCAGCACCTGCTTCCTGTGTGTGCCTGGCGCCTCACCTCTTTATCACATCCTTTGCCTGTAAAATGAGGATAATGACATCCTTCCCCACCCTCCTCTGAGAAATTTTGTGTGAATAACTTAGGCATTAAACTTTCTGAGCAGTAGAGAGGAATGTGCTCTGTAAGTATACATTCCTTCTGTAAGTTTGAGCTTATAAAAGGGGGCATCCTGGCCCAGTAGTTAGTTCAGGGTCTGGAGTCTGGCAGGTCTGAATTTGCCTACTGGCTCTAACTTATCTTAAAAAGGGGAGAGAGTAGTGTCATGGTGAAGGTTACCACTTGGCACATAGTAAGCATTATATAAATGTTAGCTACTATTAATAGTTGCAGTAATAATTTTTTAAGGGTTCCAGGTCTTAGTTGATTTACCATGAGATTGCTTTCAAAAAGAATCTTGTTATTTTTTAATATATTTTATTGATTTTTTACAGAGAGGAAGGGAGAAGGATAGAGAGTTAGAAACATCAATGAGAAACATCCATCAGCTTCCTCCTGCACACCCTCTACTGGGGATTGAGCATACAACCAAAGTACATGCCCTTTGTACTGGAATCGAACCCGGGACCCTTTAGTCCGCAGGCTGAGGCTCTATTTATAGAGCCAGACCAGTTAGGGCAGAATCTTGTTAATTTGTCAGATATGAAGTTACAACTTCCTAAGAGCCAGGAACTGTATTAAAAGTCTAGGGAGCAAAGGAAGCGTATTTTAAGTCTTGGTGGAGAGCTTCAGAGAGGCTGTGACCTTTGAACTGGTTGTAAAGGATGGTAGGGGTCTTCTGGGTAAAGGAAAGCAGAGTGAGTGAGTGGAGGACGTCACGGGCACAGAAGCTCAGAGGCAGTGGCCATTGTGGAGGATGTGGTGGGCCAGTGGGGATCCAGTAACGTAGGAGCGTAGCCTGTGAGGTTGGGAGTGCCAGTTAGGAGGATCCTTGAATGCCCTACCAAAGGGTTTAGGCTTTTATCCTGAAAGTTCGGAGAACCTTCGCATCACGTTGAGCAGGAGGGTGCATGTAGAAAAGGTAAGTCAGGTGGCAGGACAGGTCCCATTGAGGGTCAGGTGTGGGTGGACAGTGGCCTTTGGAAATTGGACCGCTGCGGCTTTTCTCCTTGGCCTTTGTCTCCACCTCTACCGAGTGAGGCGAGGGCGGATAGGACGGGGCATGGTACCCTCTGGGAGCTCGGGATGGACAAGGCGGTATTGGTCATCGCCGCCAGGTGTGGAGCAGCACTTGAAAGCATTGCTTTTTGTTGTGTCAGAATCAAGAAACAATGGCCGGAATTTGGGGATCTGGCAAGAATGGCAGGATTAGCAGGCCTTGTCCAAGGAACACTTCCAGCAAGTTCTCTGGTCCAGATGCCCAGAGCTCAGTTGGCCGTGCATTTAGAAACTCCTCAGCCCAACAGCTCCTTCCTGTTCATTTGGTTTGCATTTACAAACTCTGAGAACTTTACGTAGCAAAGGGGGCCAGGGGATGTCTGAGTTTGACTTCTTTCCTGGAGTTGCTTATGGAGTGAGGGAAGACGTGCATCCAGAGCACCATTCCACAGGCTGTGGTGTGTGGGAGTGCCATAGTGAGCAGACAGGTAGGAGACGTGCTGGGTTTGTAGGATGGGAAACACATGAGCTAAGGTGCGGAGCTGGAGAAGTGCAGGGACGTGGGGAGGGGATGGGACAGGACTGAGGAGGGGTGGAGGCTTCTAAGGAACTGAAGTTGAACCTGCGGGGCCTGGGAAGCCGTTCCCAGCTTTGACTAGGGCGTGACAACATGAGAGCTCCTTTGTCTAGAGCCGTGGTGGGCAAACTGCGGCTCGCGAAACCCATGTCGCTCTTTGGCCCCTTGAGTGTGGCTCTTCCACAAATACCACGGCCTGGGAGAGTCTATTTTGAAGAAGTGGCGTTAGAAGAAGTTTAAGTTTAAAAAGTTAAGCTCAAAAGAAATTCCAATCGTTGTCCTGTTGATATTTGGCTCTGTTGACTAATGAGTTTGCCGACCACTGGCCTGGGCGCATGGACTTGTGTCTACGCAGGATGGGTTGGAGGAACAGAGACTGGATTTGCTAAGACCAGTGAGGGGTCTGCTGTGGTGACTGAGGTAGAATCAGGGCCTGAATCAGACTGTGGCGTTGAGTTGGCCAAAGAGAGGAGCAGGGACAAAGACGGAAGGGCAGGCATAAAGCTAGAATCAGCGGACTGGAGCGGAGCATTCAGCGTGGGCGGCGGGGAGGAGGTGCTGTCTTCAGGAATAGGGATGGCAAAGGCAAGAGGAGGAACTGGTCTGGCATTAGAGGAACCCTCGCCAGCGGAAAAGGCTTGAGGTCTGGAACCAGAAGCCTTAAGCTCACCCAGCCCTCCGGCACTCTGCCAGTTGAGTCCTCTCTGGCTCTGACCCCGCTGTTACCGGGAGGAGGAGTGCCCTCCTAGGGCTGCAGTGAGGACCAGAGTGGTTCATTAATGATGCTAGTTTTTTGCTGTTGTTTAAAGGGAGGGGCTGGTGTTGTTGAGATTAGACATCAGGCTTCCAAGAGTCATCTTACAATTGGGAATTCATTCTAGAGTCCTGGGAAGAGGACAGTGCTAGAAATGAAAGTGTTTACTTGTTTTTATTTTTTGTAGGTTTTTAAATGACAGTTGAAGCCATAGTGTGAGATAGTCAAGGGGAATGCCCAGAGGATAGAGAAGAGGACCACCGCCGGACTACTGGAAAGCCTGGCATTTAAGGACAGGAGCCGGAAGAGCCACAGAGTAGACAGAGAAAGGAGCCAGAGAGAGGAGAGGGGTCAGGAGAGTTCATGTGACCGGCAAGCAGGGTGGAGGGAGGCGAGCAGTGCCAACTCCTGTTGTGGTAGAGAAAGGGGCATCAGATGAGGTTTAGATAGCCATCGAGGACTTGAAAACTAGTTTCTTCCAGAGTTATAAGCTTCAGGGTAGGATGGTGATAGTCAGCAAGTCTCAATTACTCTTTTGAGATGCTCAGTGTAAAAGGAGGAACAGAGGAGATGGTTGCTCAAGAGAAAAGCCGAGGAAGTGAGGATGGGTTTCCTTTTCCTAATTTGGGAATGACTGAGCTTGTCCATAGGGGAGAAGTAGGAGGAAGAGGAAGAGAGGGTGAGAGAGGTGCTTCAAGGTGCTGGGAGGCAGTAAAAGAGATTAGGCCCATGCTGGTGGATTAGATAGGCTGGAGGAGAAGCTGGAGGAGTGATTGTGGAGATGATGACATCAAGTGGAAGCACTGATGGGAGTTGTCATAAATAAACTCTCAATATAGGATTGGTTAATTGGTTCCTCCCTTCCTCATCCTGAGCTCAGACTCATCTTTCCATCTACTTGCTGGACATTTCACCGGAGCTACCTCAGTCAAATTCTATTTCTAAAGTCATTCTCAAGTTCTCCTCCATTTCCGTTTGTCTCCGTCCTCATTATCGCTTGCGGGATTATGAGAATGGCTTCCTAACGGGGCTCCCCCATTCCGGTCTCACTTGTCGGTGTGCACTTTTTACCGCTGCCCGAGATCTTTCTAACCGCCGTGGTCAGGTCATGTCGCTCCCTGGCCCAAACCCCCGAGGCTTCCCATTGCCCGGTGCACAGTGTGTTTGCTGCTAATGTCTGTCTGCTTCACCGCTTCCACCTCTTCCGTGGTCTCCTGCCACTTGACATCCCGCTCCCAGCACACCGAGCTGCTGCTGGCCCCCAATGTGCTGCCCTGCCATGCTCCATGCTTAGCCCTGCCTGGGCCGCCTCTCCTCCTCTCTCTGCAAGCCCATTTTCACACTCCGCTTCCCAGGCAGTGCTAGTTCTCAAACTTCCCATTCTCTTTGTACAGTCCTCCTAGTATAACATTCAAGTTGTATTGCCATTCATTAATTTCCTGTCTCTCCCACTGGGCTGTGAGCTCACTAAGGGCACCTGTATTCCCAGGGCTCAGCATGAGGCTTCGCATCAAACCCAGGCAGAGTGTCAGTGATTAGCGTGGAATGAATTAAGGAGTGTCCTGCTTCCTGGGGAGGCCTGTGGCACTGTTATCGATTAATTCCGCGTGTGCCCATGTCTTTCAAAAGTGTCAGCTGGAGAGAGCCATGTCCTCCGGTGCCCAGGGTGGGGCCGTGGCCAGGGCTGGACTGTGTGGCTTGTGGGAACACTGATGTCGGGGCTCTTGTCACCAGATGGGACTGAGTACGGGCTGAGTGAAGCCGACATGGAGGCCTCCTACGCCACCGTGAAAAGCATGGCCGAACAGACAGGGGCCGACGTCATCCTCCTGCGGGAGCGGCAGGAAGCGGGGGGCCGCGTGCGGGACTACCTGGTCCGGAAGCGAGTAGGAGACAATGACTTCCTGGAGGTCAGGTGAGGAGGCCGAGGGGCCCCAGCACGGGCCTGAGTAAGCCTCTGACTCCTAGCTTGTCCGCTTCACCCCTCCCCTCTGATCGTGGGCAGAGTGTCCAGAGACACCATAGACCTTTCGCTCTTTCTGCACTTCCCCATCCCTGATACTTCCACCTGGGAAGAGTGAGAGAGGCCAGCCATTCCTCTGTGGGCTGTGAGTCTAGAAACCGGGGTGATGGAGGGGGCGTTTTGTGCCTCTCTTGGCTCGGGGGCCCCTCTCCAGCGCTTTGGGGGAGGTAGGGGGAGTTAAGGGAGAAAGCCACTGCGGTGAGAGCCCAGTTGCTCCTGAAGAACCCTTTCCGCCCCTGGAGAATGCCTCCTGGCTCACCCAGGAGGAGGAGGAGCAGTGAGCGAGAGGCTCCGTTGGGGGTTTCCCTTCACTTACCCAGCACCTCTCACGTGGCTGTGTGGCTCCTTACTCGCAGGGTAGCCGTGGTGGGCAATGTGGATGCTGGCAAAAGCACGCTTCTGGGGGTCCTGACACACGGGGAGCTGGACAATGGCCGAGGCTTTGCCCGCCAGAAACTCTTCCGCCACAAACACGAGATCGAATCCGGCCGCACCAGCAGTGTGGGCAATGACATCCTGGGCTTCGACAGCGAAGGCAACGTGGTGAACAAGCCCGACAGCCACGGCGGCAGCCTGGAGTGGACGAAGATTTGTGAGAAATCCACCAAGGTGATCACCTTCATTGACTTGGCCGGCCACGAGAAATACCTGAAGACCACGGTGTTCGGCATGACGGGCCACTTGCCCGACTTCTGCATGCTCATGGTGAGTGCGGCCCGGCAGCCTCCGCGGCGTGGGGGCGGGCTGTGTGCCCGCCGAGGCTGAAGCCTGTGGGTTTGGGGCTTTGACACTGGGTAAGGGTCCTCTGAGCTCTACGGTCATCTCCAAGGCTGTAACTCGGTTTTCCAGGTGAGGCTCAGAAGGGATCCCCTAAGGAAAAACCAGGGTATTTGCAGAGCCCTCGTTTTTTGGAGAGACACGGAGAAGGGTTCCTCTAGGAGATTACTCACTACCTTCAGAAATGTTTTCTTCTGGGGTGGGACTTGGAGGAGTGGCGCCAGGTGGGACCCTCAGAGAGGGGAGCACAAACAGCAGGCCTGAGGCCCCCAAGAGGCGCCCCCTCCGGAGCCTGCACTGGTTGAGAGGGTGCTGCGTGCCTGGCCCCGTGCCGCCTGCAGGTGCAGCGGTGAACGGGCCGGCCGGGTCCGGAGAGCTCACAGCCCGGCAGGAGTAGATTAGTGAGCAGCTCGTTTATGCAGATGAACTGGAAAGGAAAGGGAGCAGAGGGGTGTTGGCTCATGTTGCTAAGCTTGTATTTGGGCTCCTTTGATCTTCCTGGCTGGACAGTGGGATTCTGTGAGGCCCACCACCTTGGTGGCAGCTTCCCAGCTTTCACAGACAGAACAGCGAGCACGTTTTCCTCCGGCAAGTCCTCAAAGCCCTTCCCCACGTCCCGGTCCCTGCCGCTGCTCGCGTTAATAAGTGCAGAAACACAGGCATCTGTTCAGAGTGAACGCCACCAAGTTGTCCCACAAACACAGGTTCCCAGGCGGAGCCTCCCCAGGCTGGAGACCAGGGAGAGGCGGAGCGTCTGGGTGAACACTGTGGGCTCTGCCCCGCTTCCTGGGATCGCAGAGGGACTTCACTTCCGGTATCTGTGATCATTACCAGCCTGGACTGGGCTAAGGAAACATGCTCTCTAAGAAGGGGTTCAGTGGATGGTCCTTAGGGCATATGGGGGTGGTATTAAGAAAGGTATAGCCCTGGCTGGTTTGGCTCAGTGGAGAGAACGTCAGCCTGTGGACTGAAGGGCCCCGGGTTCGATTCCGATCAGGGGCACATGCCCAGGTTTCAGGCTTGATCCCCAGTGTGGGACATGCATGAGGTAGCCATTCAATGGTTCGCTCTTATCATTGATGTTTCCATCTTTCCCTCTCTCTTCCTCTCTGAAATCAATAAAAATGTATTTTTTTTTTTTTTTTTTTTTAAAAGAAAGGTATATGCTGGAACCGGTTTGGCTCAGTGGATAGAGCGTCGGCCTGTGGACTGAAAGATCCCGGGTTCGATTCTGGTCAAGGGCATGTACCTTGGTTGCGGGCACATCCCCAGTGGAGGGTGCGCAGGAGGCAGCTGATGGATGTTTCTCTCTCATCGATGTTTCTAACTATCTCTCTATCCCTCTCCCTTCCTCTCTGTAAAAAATCAATAAAATATATATATATATTTTTTTAAAGGATGGTATAGACATCAGTGAGTTTAAAATGAGCACTTTTCTAAATAAGCTACAGTGAGAAAGGCCAATTTTTGGAATCACCTTCACCCATATGAAATGTTAAATATCTGACTTTTGGGCCAGATATAAATATTAAAATTTTCTGTAGAAAATAATGAAATATTTTATTATTATTCTATGGCAGTCTGTTTCCAGAAGAGTGGGGGGATCCTCAAAGCAATAGAGCTCTCTCTTTCCCAGGTTGGGCAGAACTAAAGCAGGTCTGGGTTGAACAGGAAAGGTTGGAGGGAATGGGAAACATTGGGAGGGGAAATGGGGGCAGTGTCTTGTAGGTGAGAGCACAGGTATGGGACATCTGTGTCATTGGGCTCATATGTGAACTGGCATGATCAAATCTCGTGACAATTTAAATTTTATTTTGTTTTAGTAAATAACACATTTTGTGATAGAAAAATAAAAAGGTACCAAAGGCTTTAGTGAAAAGTCTCCCTTCCTCACTCCCTCCAGTTTCTACTCAGAGGCAAGTAGGATTTCCAGTTCTCATGTATCCAGAGAGATTCGTAATCATACCAGCACAAGTGTGTACATTCTCTTCCTCCGATTTCAAACATTCAGAAAAGTTGAAAGAATAGTATAATGAATATTGTAAACTCGCCACTAAGATTCAACAATTGTTATTTTGCTATACTTATTTGTATATGTGATGGGTGTGTGTGTGTGTGTGTGTGTGTGTGTGTGTATGTTTGGCCTGAAGCATTTGAAAGTAGATTATAGACATTTCGACTCTTCACCCCCAAGTACTTCAGTACACAGCTCCCAAAAGTAACAGCTGGCTCCTGTGTTACTGCAGCCAAGAAGGTGAACGAGGGCTCCCTAAGCCATCCAGTATCTAGCCCAGAGTTTATATTTCTCAGATGTTTCCCAGGTGTCATACATCTGCTTTTTTCAACAGTAACCCATTCACCATTTTTTAAATGGTTGTGTGCTATATCCATCTTGCCTTTCCCCCTTAAAAACGTATCTTAGAGATTCTCCCACATTGGCAGGTAAGTTTCCTCTTTTTTGGTACGGCCGGCCCACTTGTGCCTGTGCCCTAATTCATTTAACCAGCCTCTGTGTGATGTTTAAACACCTTTATTATGGAAAGGAGTAGTGACAGTAATAATAGCAGCCATTGCTTGAGCACCTGACTCATGCTAGTTGTGTGCTGGACCTCTGACATGTTAGGACATTTAAACTTAAAGTGACCCTCTACAGTGGATGTTATCCCCCCAATTTATAGATGGGGACACTGAGAGCCAGGGCTGTTAAACTCAATTCACTTTGATGACCCTAGACTGTTGTTTTCCCAGATTGTCTGGGCTTGTCTGTTTTTTGTTTTTTTTAATAAAGCTTTATTGTTGAAAGTATTACATATATCCTCCTTTCCCCCGCCCCCGTTGACCTCCTCCAGCCTGCCCCTGCCCCCAGGCCTTCACTACCCTATTATCTGTGTCCATGGGTTATGCCAAATGCATACCAGGTCTTTGATTATTTCCCACCCTCCCTCACCTTCACTCAGATTCCACACTCTGTGGACTTGTCTTTTATTGTTTCCAGGTCTCCTCAGGTTTTGATAGCCCACAATGTTGAATTGGCTTAAAGCAATCTGTGCCGAGCCCAGCTTTCATGTGTAGCCGATTAGTTCCTGGCCTGAGATTTGTGCTCTGTGTCCAATTCTGATGCCACCTCAGAGATGGGAGCATTCTCCCATCAGCGGTCGTTAAGTCTCTGTGCCACCAGCAGCAACCTCTGTCTGCCTTGCCCTGATAGTTCTTTCTGTGTTGGGGCAGGTGGGCAGCAATGCTGGCATCGTGGGGATGACCAAGGAGCACCTGGGCTTGGCATTGGCACTCAATGTGCCTGTGTTTGTGGTGGTCACCAAGATTGATATGTGTCCTGCCAACATCTTGCAAGGTAAGTGAAGCCTCCAGCGAGCAGCAGTCCCTGTGTTTGGGGCTGCCACCCCCTGTGGCTCCGTGATGGCCTGCTCCTGGGGCTCCCGCCCTGAGCCTTCAGCTTCCTTACCTTGTGCTCAGACCTCGCCTGAGCTTCCCATCAGCCCAGAACCTTCTGTCTTCTCCCTGCTCAGCTCTTGGTCTGAGCATAGCCTGGATTACCCCCTGCACTTTGTTCTTTCTGGTTCCAAATGCAGGATTCTTGAGGCTTCTAATCTGGCACCTCTTTTCAGATGGCCTCAGACAGAAGGGGTTGGGTTTTACCATGTAAGCTGGAGGTATATGGCAACATTGCGGCAGAGGGCTTGGTAATGTTGTTGTTTGCTTTTTTAATATGTTTTCATTGATTTCTTTTACAAAGAGAGGAAGGGAGAGGGGTAGAGAGATAGAAACATCAATGAGAGAGAAACATCATAGATCGGCTGTCTCCTGCACGCCCACTACTGGGGATCGAGCCTGAAGCCCGGGCATGTGCCTTGACCAAAAATCAAACGTAACCTTTTGGTTCAGGGTTGACGCTAAACCGCTGAGCCACGCCAGCCAGGCTGATAATGCTTTAGCACCAACGGCTTCAAAACAGGTGCAGGACGAGGCCTCGGTGCATTTCTCCATCCTTGCTGCAGGTGGGAGGAGAGAACGAGAGCGGTCCTTTGGGAGGGCTCATGGGGACCTGTGCAGGTGTCTGAATGGCCTGGAGGTCCTGTGTCAGGTGCTCCTCTTCCCCAGCAAGCAGAGCTTTCTGAGAACGTTGTCCCTATGGACGCCCTGCCACCCTCTCGCCTTCTCCCATCACTTACAGGATGCGGGTCTTCTAGAGATGAAAGAAAGCCAGTGGCTTCAGACTCGTAACCTCCGCAGACAGCCCCCATTGTGCTGTTTCTATCTGGCAAGCACGCACCCACCCAAAGTTTGGGTCCTCCCTTTTGCTTCTCCAGGCATTGTGGCGTTTAACATTCTGTCTCCTGCTGGCAGTATGATGAGTGGACCTGTCTTGCCCTAAAAGCCTGGGCAAAGGAAGCCTGTGTCCCCTAATTCTGTTCCTTCCACCCTTTAAGAAACCCTGAAGCTGCTACAGCGCCTGCTGAAGTCGCCAGGCTGCCGGAAGATCCCCGTGCTGGTGCAGAGCAAGGATGATGTGATCGTCACCGCCTCCAACTTCAGCTCTGAGAGGTAATGGGCGGAGAGCACTCTGGGCGGGCATAGGCGGGTGAAGTGGACTCTCGTGGTCTCAGCACAAGGTCTCCCAGGCTGGCAGGTGCCTCAGAGTCTGGAGCTAGCCTCGCTGAGGTGGGAATCCCAGCTGAGTCCTCAGAGTCCTTGTCTGTGAAATGGAATGATGTTCCCTCTCCATAGGGCTCTCGTAAGGGTTGGAAATTGCTTTTGGACTGCACTTAGCACTGTGCCTGGCCCATGTGTAATAGAAAACTGCCGTTTTTATAACTTATTCTATGTTTTTATACTGTTGTTTCTCAAAAACTCTCGAATCACAAGTCATTTTAGGCCTTTGCTCATTAACAGATCCTGTGAATCTATAAATACATTTGGGTGTCTGTTGAGTGCCAGACTCACACCTCAGCATTGAGGTTTCAGGGTTGACTCGGGCACTAGCCTTGTCTTCAAGGTGGTCAGCTCCTTGGTCAGAGATACTCTTTGAACTTTGTTAACTCTGTTCCTTCTCCCAGAGTCTTGGGGCTGCTCAGAGCCGTCTGCCTTCTGGCTTGGTCTGTAATACAGGACCCTCTGGCTTTTGCCTGTTGCTCTGCCCTGACAGTGTCTTCAGTACCACCGTTTGACCAGCAGAGGGGGGGTTCATTTCAGTTGCCTCCATTTTATCTTATTTATAATAAATTTGTGTGTGTGTGTGTGTGTGTGTGTGTGTGTGTGTGTGTGTTTAGAGGTAGGAAGAGAGAGGGAAAGAGAGAAACGTCGATGTGAGAGTGAAACATCGGCTGCCTCCTGCACATCCCCTATCCGGGATCGAGCCCTCAACTTGGGTATGTGCCCTAACGAGATCGAACCAACAACCTTTGGTGCACAGGACGACGCCCAACCAACTGAGCCACACCAGCCAGGGCAGCTTCCCCCATTTTAATTCACCGAGTTTTTCTGGTGTCTGTTCTGTGCAGGCACTAGTCTAGGAGCTATGGGGATATATAATTCCTGATCTCCAGGAGTTTGATTAACCCTGGATAGGAGATACAGAGGCCACTGAGATAAATGACCGCAAGTCAGACATAGTTACGTGTAACAGAGTCACAAAAGTTCAAGCGCTGAGAGGAGTGGAGTGCCCATCTGGGAAGGTTCCTGGAAGAAGCAGGGCTGAGCCGTGCCCTGAAGGATGAGAGGATTTGGTAGTTGGATCAGAGGAAGCAATTCAGGCAGGAGGATCAGAGAGGAACAGTATAAGGGAGCATAAAAGAATCAGGCTTTTGGAGGAAAGTAAGTCCTCTGGTCTGGCTGGAATATAGGGATTTAAGAGAAATAAACCTGCAGAATGCTGCGAAGAGGGATGCCGGCTGTTTTCTCTGTAATGGGCAGAGGATTGAGGGTTTTAAGCAAGTATGCGTGCACTTTAGAAAGAAGCAGTGTGAGTGCCTGAAGTAGAGCGGTGGTAGAGGGACGGAGAGGAGGGGCCAGATTTTAGAGACAAAACTGATCAGAGGGGAAGGCCTTGGAGTCGGGCTGGAGGGGAAGAGCCGGGGAGGCGGATGAGGGGCACTGGGCCTGCAGGAGCCCTCCCGCTGCTCCCATCCTGTCAGGCAGGCTGGCCTCCTAAGCGCCTGTCTTTCTTTTCATTCACCCTCCACGTAGGATGTGCCCAATATTCCAGATCTCCAACGTTACGGGCGAGAACCTAGATCTGCTGAAGATGTTCCTCAACCTCCTCTCCCCCCGCACCAGCTACCGGGAGGAGGAGCCGGCCGAGTTCCAGATCGATGACACGTACTCTGTGCCGGTGCGTGGCTTCTGGGGGACCAGGGGGCAGGCTGGCGGGCACTCACTCCCCCGGGGGCGTTGGGGTGGGTGGGTGGTGGAAGGGGCTGAGTGGGGATAGACTCACTGGGCCAGGGTCTTCTCTGCAGGGTGTGGGGACAGTGGTGTCAGGGACAACACTCAGGGGCCTGATCAAGCTGAATGACACGCTGCTGCTGGGCCCAGATCCTCTGGGTAACTTCCTGTCCATCGCTGTGAAATCGATCCATCGCAAGCGCATGCCCGTCAAGGAGGTGCGCGGGGGCCAGACGGCCTCCTTCGCGCTGAAGAAGGTGAGTGCTCTAACTCCCCTCAGAGCCCGTGTTTTACGAGGCCCGGGGCTGTCTCCGGTCCTCATGGCTGCTCTGCCAGCCAGGCTTACTGACCGCCCCTCCAGAGGAGGCACGGAGCTCAGCCAGCCTGAGCGCCATGCCCAGGAGTGCACAGGTGTACATGCTGGAGCTGGGACCTGAGCCAGGCTGCTGCCTCCTGAGCTCGTTTCTCCCTCCAGCGCCTGAGCGGGGTGTCCTGAGCTCAGTGGTGAGTCAGGCAGGCATCTCCCTGCTGTGTTGAGGGCCATTGGGGTCCATGCCAGCTCCTTCCTCTTCCCATTCCGCCTCCTGGCCCCAGGAATGGGGTGAGTGCTAGCTCCAGGTCACCGACCTTCTCTGCCAACCAAATGAGCCAGCGACATGGGCTGTCTCCACTCCCCACAGTCATGGCATACTCGCCCCGTTCCTCCACCCATTGCTTACCTGCCTTTTCTCTCATCACCCCCTTCACTCTTACCCATCCTTGGCGGCCCACTGAGATGCCGCTTCCTGCATGACCCTGAGGAGCTAAAACCTCCTGGAAGGCCGTGGCCGGTGCAGTGAGGGCCAGGCCAAGTGGGCGGCCCTCATTCCCGGAAGGCCGGCTAGTCCTTGGGGCCAGGGCTGCAGCCGAAGGCACATGTGCCTGAGCTCGGGGCTCCTCTCTTGCAGATTAAGCGCTCATCCATCCGGAAGGGCATGGTGATGGTTTCCCCGCGTTTGAATCCCCAAGCATCCTGGGAGTTTGAGGCCGAGATCCTCGTCCTCCACCACCCCACCACCATCAGCCCGCGCTACCAGGCCATGGGTAGGTGTCTGAAGGGGTGCCAGCCCAGGAGCCCCCCACTCTAGTTCTCTTTACAAAGTGCTCCAGTGACCCGAACCCAAAAGTTTCAACTCCACCCAAGGTCTCCTTCCTGCTTAGTGTGGCTCCCTTTTCCGCCACGGCTGCAGCGTTAATTCAGTCCTGCAGACAGACGGAGCGCCGGCCGTGCCGCTCGGTGTGCGCCGAATGCTTCTGTGTCAGGTGTTGCCAGGTGCTGGGGACAAAGGCCAGATAGGCAAGGGCCCTGCCCTCAGGAAGCCAGCAGGTTAGGGGCACATGCAAACACGGTGCCCTGTGTTCAGGAGCCAGGACCGTGGGCCTGGGGACGGGTGAGGTCTAACTGGAGGAAAAGGTAGGTGAGTTCGAGGCGCGATCAGATCTCAGTGCAGCCCCTGCTCACTCGGCTCCCCTAGGCCTGCCCAGGCTTAGCCGGCCGCCGCTCGAGCATATCTCATGCTTTCACTCTGCTCCCCTGCCCCGAGGCTAACGGTGGCTCCCTTGGCAGTGCACTGTGGGAGCATCAGGCAGACGGCCACCATTCTGAGCATGGACAAGGACTGCCTGCGCACTGGGGACAAGGCCACGGTGCACTTCCGCTTTATCAAGACCCCCGAGTACCTGCACATAGACCAGCGGCTGGTGTTCCGGGAAGGCCGCACCAAGGCTGTGGGCACCATCACCAAGGTATGGCTGGGCAGTCTCAGCTGCCCCGCGGACTCTAGGGTCACTGGCCGGCCAGCACAGCAGGTGCTTCTGGAGAGGTCTGGCGGGGTTTCCTGACCGGCTGGGGCCTGGGCACCTTCTCTGCCTCGGGAGAGCCGGACCAGGGCATTCCCAGGGATAGCCACACTGCAGATGCTTCCAGCTGCTGCGACAGTCACTGCTGGGCCTGAGGTTAAAACCTGCCCAGACTCTGGTTCCAGGGACCACAAGGTCCTAGGGCTGCAGATGCAGTTGATATTCTAAGGAGTCTTAGCCCGAATGGGAGCCGGAGTCCAGCTCACCGGCTCTGGCAGGCAGGGCCTGTCCGGAAGCTGGGCTGAGTGGGCGGGCTGAGGATCCCTGGCTGCAGGAAGAGCAGCCAGAGAGAGGATAAGATGGAGCTCTGGATGGGAGAGAACACCTGGGCGCCCAGGACCAGCCAGGCTGGGAGTGAGCAGTCCCTGAGGGCAGGGGAGCCGGCTGCTGAGCTGATGGCACCGCCTGCAGCTCTAGCCTCCCCCTCACCCCTGGCTCCTGCAGCTCCTGCAGACCACCAACAACTCCCCGATGAACTCCAAGCCTCAGCAGATTAAGATGCAGTCAACGAAAAAAGGCCCCCTGACCAAACGAGAAGACGGGGCCCCCCCCGGAGGGCCGTCCGCAGGGGTGCCTCCCCCGGGAGACGAAGCGGGCTCACTGGGGGCCGCGCAGTCCGCCGCGTCCAGCAGTCTCCAGCCAACGGTGAGCATGTCCCCAGCCGTCTGAGCCCTGACCACCCCGGGGGTGCAGGCAGGGCGATGGGTGCGGCTGTCAGAGGGTGACCTGTGAGCCCGCAGCCTCTGCCTGCTGCCACGTCTGTGCACAGACGGGTTCCACAGCCCCAGGCGCGGGTGCTTTCTGAGCATGCGCTGTCTGCCGCTGAAGGCGCCGTTTTTCAAACTTGGAGCTGGGGCCTACATAGAAGCAATTTGTGGTCCTGATGGGCATTTGAGAGTTCCCCGCATTTCCGAGTCCCCTTTCCTAGTAAGGATAGTACTTATGTGTGAGGGTGCTGCGTCCAGAAGGTTTGAAAATCTCTGCCTTAGGTGCTCTCCTGTGCCCTCCCCCAACATGACACCTCCCGAGGGGCCGGTGGCTCGGCCCTGTGTCATTGTGGCTGTCACTCAGCATCCCCTGCCAGCTCTCTCTCGGTCTTCCCTTTCAGAGTCTCTCCAGCCGCCCCGCCTCTGGGAAGGAAGCTTTTGCTGCACCTGTTCTTCCTGTTCTCCCCTAGCTTTCCTCTCCTCCGTCATTCCTTTCTCTTCCCACCCATCAGTGGTGGCAGGTGTGGTTCCGGCTTTCTGTGTGCTTCTCTGAGCGCTCGTATCTTCGCCACGTGCCCCTCCTGTGCAGCAGCAGGCAGAGCAGGCCCTTGCTCCCTCTGACCAGCAGAGCCATGCTCAGGCGAGGCTGGGACCACACTGCCTGCCCGTCGCCTGCTGCCCCTGCTCCTCTGCTGCCCTCCCCGCTCCCCTGGCCACTCCCAGGGGCCGCTGCTCCTCACACTCCTCTCTCTTCCAGCTCAAGCCCAGCAGTGGGGGCCGGCGGCGCGGGGGCCAGCGTCACAAGGTGAAGACCCAGGGGGCCTGCATGACTCCTGCCAGTGGCTGCTGAATTTCTCCTCCCGCCCAAGGATTCCCATGCTCCGGCCACCTCCATCCGATGGGCCAGGCGGCCCGCAGCCGGCGCTCAGCATTCCCCAGCCCTGGTTCCTGGGCTCTAATTTATAGGCGGAGGACGGCGGCAGCTTCCGGAGCACTACCATCTCCCGCCTCCTGTCACCTTCTTCCTCACTCAGTTTTTGTACATCGGGGCCCTTCGTTTGTATTCCTTTTATTCTCTCTCGTACTTGTGTGCGTGTGCGTGTGTGTGTGTGTGTGCAGGAGTATGGCCACTCGGGGCCCTGGCAGTCTTCTCTTCCTTTCCTCCATGGCTGGCCCGGCCTCCGGGAGCTGTCCGTCTGCCTGTGTGTCTGTGAGAATTTAGGGGCTGCTGCTCTGCGCCCGGAGCCTCCTGGAGCGGGCTTCGGCGGGGCTGCAGGTATAGTCCTTCTGCTCCGGCTCGGGAGCCCCCGCCTGGGACCCGGGGCTTTTGGCAGGATCAACAGTGCTGGCTTCCTCTTTTCCCTCCCTCTTTCTCCTTAAGCCCCGAACAGGAATGCCAAAAGCTCTTACATTGTGACCTGTACATGGTGGAGGGGAGAGGCGATTGGATTGTGGGGCCCTCCCTGCCCTTCACTCCAACCCATGCCACTGGCCCAAAGCAGCTGGCGGCTTTCCTTCCCGGCGACAATCCTGTTTGCCTGGCTGCTCAGGGCAACTCCTGCTCTGCCGAGCCTCTGCTGCCCCCTGCGTGGACCTTGAATCTTACTGGGTCTTGGGGCACTGCTGACCTGGACGGGTGTCGCCGGCTCAGGTCATGCTCGTAGCACTTCTTTTTGGTGGGGGCGGGGGGTTCCTCTGAGCCAGGCTGGGGTGGAACCCCTTCCCACCGTAACTCCGCCACAACTGAATGGCCCGAACCCAGGTCTGGAGGCCCCGGTTGGGATAGGGGAGCAGGTGCAGGCCCGCACAGGGCAGGAGGCCCTCGGGAAGGATCACTGCCTGGAGCGGGGTGGGTGTCAGGCCCCGGAGGCAGCGTGGGCCCTGACCCAGCCTGCTGAGCTGAGGCCTGGAGCCCTCAGTTAGGGTGGGCTTTTGGCAGAGGTGTGCTTTCTCTGGCCGGGGCAGACGCCCAGCTGGCTGGGTCCTCCTTCAGCCTGCCTTCCTCTTGTCCCCAACCCTCCTGTCCTGCTCCCAGACTGCTGGTCCCCTCACTCTCCTCCCAGCTGATTCTAGTTACCACCAGCCCACGGCCACCCAATGACCAGACCAGCACACACACGAAAGCTTGTCCATGTTGACAGGTGGAGGAGCTCTGCCTGCCCAGCCCGGTCTTAGAGCACAGGGCAGGGGGGGGGGGGGCCCGCTTCTGGGAGGCAGGCGTGGCCTCACCACCCTCGTTCTCCCCCAGCTCTGACACGGGACACGTTCAGCTTCTCTGAACAGGGTGCCTCCACGGCGAGAGGTGAACGCCTCCGAGTGTCAGAATTGAGTGAGGATGTAGGTGAGGCCTCGTGCCCAGCACGCTGCTTAGATCCAGGCTGGAACCGAGGCCTTACAGAGCTGGGGGACAGGCTCGAGAGAGGTGGCATCGACGAGTCTGTGGTTTGGCTGGGGCTGTGCCAGGTGTGTCCTCGCTCCGTAGACTGAGGGAGGTGGCATTCGTGCCGTTTTGGTTGGGGGCACTGAAGCCCAGCAGGGCAGTGCCACCGATAGGCGGGATGTTCCTTCCCTGGCCCTCGGCCCAGCCGTTTCTCTAAGCTGCGCCCTTTGGCCCCCGCCTGCTCCTTTGTCTCCTGGCTGTTTCCCTCTTGCTTTTTGGCTCATTCTGCTGACAGGGCTGCCGCCCACGGAGCCCTTCGTAATCAGAGGGCTCCAGTGCTGAGCGCCCTGCTCTGTGCCCACGGCGGGTGCTGTGGAGCCGGTATTCCCCGGGCGTGGCATGGTAGTCCTCCGAGCAGGTGGTGCCTCTTTTGTTTGAACTCTTGGCCCTGAGAGCATAACCACTGGATGTTCGGAAGCTGTGGCCGCCACCTGGCCTCTGTCCTCAGACGCTCAGGAGGCTGGTGTGATCTGCGGCCAGCGGGCCCACCTGCTCGCAGGGCCGACCGACCGAGCGCAGCGTTTCACTGTCCTCCACGGGGACCACCCGAGTTCCCTGTGGCTCAGCCTACCAACTCCGTTTGGAACAAACACCAGCCCTTTTGTAGTTGAAGAATAAAGTTGTTAATCTGGTCATCTCGAGTGGCACACCTGACCCTTGTGTGAGGCAGGGTTGGTGGTAATTCTGTCACATGACTGCGACGTGGGCGGGGAGCGCACGTTTGTTGGGGCTGAGGGGTGTACCGCAGGGGAGCTGGTGAGTTGTGCCGGGAGGGGCCAGTAGGATTTGAACGTGTGCAGACTGGCAGAGGGTATGAGCCTGGCCCAAGGGCGAGAGCAGAAGCCCCAAGCCCTGTGACTGGTAAGTTCCGGAACTCATGGCTACTGCTCAGGGACGTCTCCTCTTGAAAAATGGTGCTAGTTGCAGAGCAGATGTTGAGTGGAACAGGGGGAGAGGCGAGCAGTCTGGGGGTGAGCCTTGTGTAGGACTAGCCTGTGCAATGGCCAGTTAAAAACCATGTATTCTCCCCTTCCCCCAAAACACACAAAAAAGCAAGTATTCCGTTAGTCCTGGGCATAATTTATTTTTGCATAGGTATAAATTAGAGTCCGGAGATAAAAAAGTAAGAACCCACCAGTGCAGCATTTGTGACGGAAGTGCCGGTCCGAGGCGCAGGGCCAGGCTGGAGCACAGGACGCCTGGGCCTGGCCTTCAGCCCAGCTCCGCCCCGTGAGGCCTGGCCTCCCAGAAGGCACCTGCCTGCATGGCAGCCCCTCTCGGCATCCAGGTTATAAGGAGCCGAGATCACCCAGCACCCACAGAATGGGGCTAGGAATCAGGCCCTTAGCTTTTCAGTTAAAAAACGACCTTGAAAAGTTCACGTAACAGCAGGGCCAGCCTAGGCCAAAACCCTGCCTCCCGCCCCTACCCTCCCCCATCCCCACCCCCCATAGAAAAAGCCGGAAAGGAAGCGACTGAGCAAGAGCTGGAAGAGCCCTGAGGGGGTGCTGAGGGTGAGGGCCGGTGCCCAGGGGCCTGATTGAGATGGAGCAGAAGTCAGACGGTTCTCCCACCATGAAATCCTGAATATCGCCACCAGGGGGCCTGGAAGTCATCGCCTGCACCTTCTAGCTAACCCCAGACGCACAGCCTCGGAGGGCAGTCTGAGCCCCTGCACCCTGAGGGATGTGGCAAGGACAGGCAGGCCCCATCCCAGCATCGGACGAGCAGAAACAGCTAGTGTCCCCAACAGAGGGGACCCTACAGGGCTGGCCTGGGCCCTCCGAGGCTCACAGGAGCAGACCTGGGCACAGAAGCCCCATGGCCCACCTCACGCCAGGACAAACAGTGCATAGAAGCCCTTGGAGAATGTGGGCCAAGCTCCCCTGGGCCGATGGAACTGGCTTCTGAGAGCCCAGCTGCCCACTCCCAGGAGCTGCCTGCCCACAGCCCCTGGGGCCGCAGTCCCCTGCCCCAGCCCTCGCTGTGCCCGTGGCTCCGGCACTGCATCATCACACACCACCACCTCCCAGCGGAGCTTCCTGGGTGCCAGCCCCTCCGCCGTGGGCAAGGGGCGGTCAGTCAGGTCTTGCCCACGGCTGCTGGACATGTCCACTCGTCACCGCTCCTGCCTCTGAGTCCCACATGCTACACATATACACCTTCCCAGGAGGGGACCAGACCCCAGTGCCTGGCGTGAGAACGAAGGGTGGAAAGACGCTGAAGCCAGCTGAGCCCCGGAGCTGCCCGCTGCTGGGAAGCCCGGCACATTCTGTCCACAGGGCCAGGGGCTCCGCTCCTGGGAGCCAGTGCGCTGGTCAAGCATGTGGGGAAGTGCAGGGTGCTGCTCCCTGACTCGCAGAGGGGGGCGTGGCTGGCCTCCCCGCTGGCGCAGTGCAGGGAGCCTAGTGGGCGGGCTCCCCGTGCACCCTGAAGCGGTAGATGCAGGTGTACTCCGGGTGGCCCCAGTTAGTCAGGATCCGCAGCTCCACCACCTGGTATGTGGCCATTGTGGGGTCCTGGGTGGAGGAGGAGGAGGTTCAGAGTGTCAGAGAGCCCTCAGCCCTCACTGGCAGCAGGCAGGCGGGGAGGTGCCCCCCTCGGCCCGGCCCCCTGCCCTGGGGCCTCTGAGAGACTTGGACTCCACAGCCCCGCCTGTCCCAGACCCTGCAGGAGTGTCCAGCGGGTGGGCCAAGGGGCTCAGGGCTCCGGAGGTGCTCCCGGGACCACCCACCGGGGCTTCAGAATGGCCTGTGGCTGAGCACCGGCCAGTTCACCGCACACTGACAGCCACAGGGGCCTGGTCACGGCAGTACTGCCTGTACGGAGTCTGCTGCTCTGTGTTGATGTTGGAAAAGAATTTCTTTGAATTAAGCAGAATTCCTTTTCTTTCTCCAGCTGCCATCAGGCCTCTGTCCTCTGTGCTCAAAGAGCCAGTTTATGAGCAGCTTCCGATGCCCCAGCAGTGTCCCTGCTCTTCCTCTTCCCTCCAGCTCCTGTCCTCCGCCCGCTCCTGAAGGCCACTCCGCACACACCCTGAGGACCCGGTACTCCCATGGCTTCGTGACGGCCTGGAGCTCACAGCTCCCTCTGTGTCAGGCCCGGGGACAGCCCCATGGACCGGGAGAGGTGCCTCAAACTCGGTGGCCAGCCTGCCCCGTCTGCATTAGCCTCCTGCTGCCCTCTCCACCTCCCCCTTCCCTGCTGTGTCCGCACCTCTCCGTCCTCCGGGTGAGCACCCATCGCCAATTCTGGCATGCTCTCCTACCGCCACCTCCCGGCCGCCTCCCTGTCTCCAGGCTGGTCCCCCTGGATCCCCACGCTCACGGCCACGGGGAGATGATGCTGCACATCATACTGTCACCTCTCTGCCTAACCACAGCACCGCCCGCCCCCTCCACCCACCCTGAAGGCTGGAATCCTCCGGCCTCTTCCTGCCACTGGCCCTTCACCTCACACCCGCCCTCACATTACTGGACTCCAATCCTCACCCCTGGGGGAAGCTGCAGGGTTCTGGGCCCCAACAGCCCCAAGGAATCAACCTCCTGGGGAGCCTGGGGCTCTGCATTCTGGGAAGTCACTGAGACAGCGGTCCTGTTCCCTGCCTTGGGCTGCGCGAGGCGGGCGCTGTGGTTCCCTGTCTGAACCCCGGGGCCTGGCACAGGGTGGTGGGTAGGGAAGGGAGTATGCCCCCTCCGCGGGCACCACAGAACCCTGTACCTGAAAGTAAAATGTCTGGATGGGCTCCCCGTCCTGGTTGTAGGTGAACTGGCCAAGCAGCGTCCCCTCCTGCTGCAGGTCTTCTTCAAACCCCTGCAGAGAGCACAGCATGAGGGAGGAGCCTGCTCTTGGACACGCGCCTTGGTGGTCGAGAGCAGTGCTCCCTCTCTGTGCCCCCGTCCCCTCCCGCAGGGGATCTGAGCTCCGGGAACAGGGCTGCGGAGGGGTCTGGGACAGACAAGCCGCTTTGCCCCTGGGGCCTCTCTTTTCCTCCGTAGCCTAGACAACTGGGATCCAAGTCCCATTCCCACCCTGGCACCATCTCTTCCAGATCTGCCCCCCGCCCTCCAACTCTATCCTCAGCAGAGACCCCAGGTCCTCCCACAGCCTCCTCGGGCCGCACGGGGACACTCACGAAGACAGCGAAGTCCTTGGGGGCACTGGAGATGGTGCTGTTGGGTGACAAGGACTTGGGCACGTGCTCTAAGGTGACAGCCGTGGGGCGGATGCGGGCAGACAGGCGGATCACGGCAAAGCCCTGGGGCCCCTGGAAGGCCCAGCAGTTGCCTGGGTGCACATCTGGCTGGAAGGGAAGAGCCGGGTCAGGGCAGGGCTGGCTGACCTGGGGTGGACAGTCGCCCAGCTGCACAGGACCCTGCTGTCCCCGCCTGGTGCCCACCTGGAGGATGACGCGGGGCGACTGGGAGTGGTACCACAGGGGGATGCCGAAGAGGCTGAGGAGGGCCGTCTTGGTCTCGTAGGTCTCGGAACACCGGGTGCTGATCACACTGGCTCCTGGCCCAGAGAGAAAGAGGTGTGGGCGCCTGGGGCCTGCCTGGGAGCAGGGGAGGGAGACCAGACAGCCAGCTCAGCAGCCAGGACCCCGGCTGAAAGGACTGAGGCAGCCCGAGGGGCACCAGCACTGCCCGCGTCCTCTCTGAGGATGGAGGGCAGAGGCCCAGGCCCAGTCTGTAACCCAACCCAGACCACAGGGCAGTGCCCACAGCCTCATCCCAGCCCAGGACGGAGCCGGCCTTTGTGGGGAGTTCCGGTTGATCTGGTTGGGTGACTTCTGAGAAGCCCTGCTGGCCTAGCACACGGCCGGCTGCTCCGGCAGGTGCAGAGGCCGGTGCGGGGCCAGGCTGGGCTGCGGGCGGAGAGCGCGCACACCTCCGGACTCCAGCGCGTAGTCCACCATCCCGATGCGGTCCTCGCTGTAGCGCTTCAGGGCCTGGTCCACGATGCGGTGCACCTCCTGCAACAGGCGCCAGAGCGGGGGTGGCGGGGGCAGCCTCGGCCACCCTCGGACCCCCCCTGCCGGCCCTTCTGTGCTTGCCCCACCCGGGCATCCAGCCACCCAGGCATAGTCCACCCTCCCGGACCCGCCCACAGCAGCCACTGCGCCCCCTGCAGGGCCCACTCCAGGGGCTGGCAGTGGGGGCCGTGCAGGTCTGTGGCTCCGGGGAGGAAAGCCGTGTGTATGTACCAGCGGGAGTCCCGGGGCGTAATCTCTCACCTCCTCTGTCACCCCAATCACGCCTTCCTTCTGCAGCCTCAGCCCCAGGCTGGCCACCGCCTCCCTCGCCGACTTGCCCTGCATCTCGGTCACGTGGCTGAGGATCTTGCCCTCCAGCTCCTGCAGCCGAGCCTGCATCTCCTCTCGCTGAAGGATCCCCGTGCGGGCCGCCCCACCTTGGAGCAGGAACTGACTGATCCAGGCAGGGAACTGGGACTCCACCTGGGGACCGAAAAGAGGTCTCACTCTGGGCTGCCGGCAGGCGGAGTCTGGCTGGGGAGGGAAGCAGGGAAGGGGTGCGGGCCTGTGAGGGAGGGCCAGCATGTGCCTGCTCGGGCCACACAGATGAGAGAGCTAATAATGGCCCATCCCCGTCTCCCAGTACAGGAAGACAGCATCTGGGGACGAAGGCTGCAGGGGCAGGAAACTGCAGACGCCAAGGACAGCCGGCCTCAGAGGCCGGTGTTCCGGGGCCCGGGCGCTCGGACTCACGTCGTCCCGCATGGCCTGGAGCTGCTGCGGCAGGAAGCCCACTTGGTCCGCCACCGCGCTCTGCTTCAGGGCCAGGGCTGCCAGCTCCTGGCGCAGGCCCGCCAGCTGGCCCTCCAGCCGGCCCAGCTCCTGCATGGAGTTCTCCCGGAAGGACTCCTGGGTCATCCTGGGCCCAGAGAGAGGAGAGTGAGCCTGGGCTGCTGGGGAGCAAGAGGACCCCTCACCGGCTCCTGATGTGCGTGCTCATCACCCGGTGATGCAGGGCCTGCCCGTGGGGATCCTGGCTGAGAGCTCAGCGCCCGGTTTGCCTGACCAGGGAGCTCCTTCCCCGCTCCCTCTCTCAGCTCAGATCGTCCACTCGGCCTCTGCTGCGCGTGAGCAGATGCCCGGGGCAGGGGAGGCAGCGCGGGAGGGCATGTAGAGATGCCGTGTCTACATGAACCCGCCAATCCCCCCTCCTGCAGGGCCCACCCCAGCCTGCACTGCCGCTGAGGCACAGGCCTAAAAGCACGTGGTCTGCGCTGGCTGTCAGCCGTCCTGCTCTGTTTACAACACAGTCAGAAAGTCAGACCTCGGCTCTGGGGCGCTCGCTGCTCCCCTGTCCTGCCTGGGGTGTGTGTGGGGGTTGGGGGGAGGCAGAGGGCAGGGGGAAGGGCAGGCCCAGGCCAGACGCAGGTCCATTACCTGTGCCACTCGGCCTTCAGCTGCTGGAGCCGGTCCTCAGACTCCTGTGCAGGCACAAGGGAGAAACGCGAGCCATGTCAGGTCAGAGCAATTGTCTCTCCCTAACCGCTCCCTCCCGGGGTCTCCCAGCTGCTCCAGCAAATGTCACTCTGCCTCCGGGTCAAGGTCCCGTGCGAGTCTCCCCGTATCGGAGGCTTAGGCATGTATACACCTCGCACTCGTTCAGCATGCGGACCCAGCCCCACGGCCACTGACTGTGCCCCTTCCTGTCCCCGCGGCTCCCAGTGTCCCCGGAGCATTCCAGCCAGGTGGGTTCAGTTCAGGCGGAAGTCAGGAGACTCCCCGCGGCCTCCCCCCCCCCATGTCTCAGCAGGCCCTCTGGGTGGCCTGGGTGCCCTCGCCCTAGTCAGGGGTGGAGTTGGGTCAGGCCGGGCCCACCTGGGAGGCGCGGACCACCTTCCGGAAGAGGTCCTCGGCATCCTGCTGGTGCTCCGCTCGCAGGGAGGCCAGCTCCTCCTGTGGGCACGGGGGCGGGGTCTCAGGGGGCTGCGCTCAGAGGCCCCAGCCCCCAGGGAGTGGGGTGACCGCAGTCCAATCCAGGCCTCTGTGCTGGGCCCTCAGCTCCCCGCCTCTGCCACAGGGCCTCCCGAGCGGGAAGCCGCCCTTGATCTTCACCTCACACCCACCCCTGGGTGCCAGGCCCTGTAATCTACGGGCTGCCGGCGAGCAGGGGCGTGGGTGCAGAGGGGAGAGCGTCCATGTGAAAGAGGGGAAAACTCAGCCGGCCTCTCCGCGTCAGGGTGTGCAGGGTCGCCCCCCACCCGCACGCCCACGGTGTCGCCCCCACGTGGCACCGGCTCCAGCCGAGACCCCGGCTCCTCCGCACCTGGATCCGGGCGGCGGTGTCCCTGCGGAAGTCCTCCTTCAGGGCGGCCTCCCGGCGGCTCACCAGCCCCTCCAGGAGCACCAGCGTGTCCTCCTGGCTCAGGCCGCGGCCGCCGCCCTCGCCCGCAGCCCCCTGCCGCAGCTCCAGGCGCTCCAGGCGCACGGCCTCCTTCTGCCAGGCGGAGGAGAACTCGGCGGCCAGGGCCTCCAGGCGCCGCTCCAGGGAGTGCACCCGGGACAGGATGCGCTGCTCCGCCTGCCAGAGGGAAGGGCAGAGGTGAGGGGCCACAGCTGTGCCCCTGGAGGAGCGGGAGGGGTCTCATCCCGCCCAGAAGGGAACACCTGCTGGGCCCCAGGCTCTCAGGCCCCACAGGTGGTGGGTGCTGCAGCAGCCAAATGGGTTTTGACACCGAAGCACAGGGTTCGGGACACACAGGGTACGGGACACACAGGCTGTGGGGGGAGGTCTGATCCCCAAGGAGGGGTGCACGTGGGACAGGAGATGGGGACACAGTGCCCTCCCGAGAGGGTCCGAATGGATGGCCACTGGGGCTGGGTGAACCCCCCACTCCTCTCGGGGTGCACGTGTGCCAGAGAGCGTGGGGCTCAGAGGCTCAGCTGACTGTCAGTAGCTCCCACTTCTCCCATCAGTAACTGCGGCTCAGAGACCACGCCTTCTGAAAGGGCTCTCTTTCCTCTTGAACTGGATGCCCCACAGAGAAGGCAGAACACAGGTCATCTGGACGCGGGGGTGGCATTTGATAGTGTGCCATGAATTTTGAGAACCTTGTTGGCTTCACCACGAGAATCTTTGCCAAGAGAAAGCGTAACACATAGCCTGTCGACTACCAAACGGCAAGGCGGCTGGGTACAGAGGTCAAGTCTGATTTCCAAAAATTCCATTTCTTGGCATGACTCAAAAAGCAAGCAAACAGTAAAAAGTCATGCTCGTAACCTCTGCCCCTCCACTGTGCCCGCACCCCCCTCCCAAACGAGGCAGCTATTTTTATTAGCGTCTTTATGCAAACGTAACTTTTTCTTCTTTTTTTTTTTTTAATAAAAAAAGGTGGTCCTGAAGTTGAATCGTATTTAATGTGTTTACTAGTGATTAAAAAAGGAAGTCTTATAAGTGCCAGAATGTCATCAAATTAAATTCAGCAAGATACAAGCAAAGTTAAATAACTATAATAGTTTTAGCTTTTCATTGTGGCCCTCAGGACCTGCGCACAGTCTGGTTACTTGTGCACTTCACACACACACACACACACACACACACACACACACACACAAGCGTGCGCGTGGACTGCAGGCTCTTTGAGGTACAGCCTGGGCCTGTCTCCTCTGCGCCTGGCAGGTGCACCTGTGGGCGTGGCCTGGCAGGCGTCCCCATGGGGAGGCGGAGCCTCGCTCCTGCTTGAAGCTAGACTGGCTCTGCGGTTTGTTGAGGCCATGGAACGTGGAGGGTGCCAGTTCCAGCCACGGCCTCAGAGGGCCTGGCCTGATTCTGTTCCTTGGAACCTTGCGTGGCTGCTGTGAGAACAACCGGGCCGGCCTGTTGGACAACAAAGCAGGGAGCCCAGCCCGTCCGCTGACCACCGGCCGGCTCCAGGCACACGGGAGCCCAGCCCAGGCAGCCTGGCCTTGCTTGGACCGGAAGGGCCAGCTAGCGGACCCTCAGGCTCATAGCCAATCTTACACGTGCCCTTTAAGGCACTAATTTCACGGATGGTTTGTCTGTGCTAACTGATAGCTGACCGTGATATTACCTTATTCATAGACGTGCTCAGTGAATTCAGGATGGGGCAAAAGTAGGTTTACAGTGGTGAGTACACGAAACACAACTTATTTTTGTATTACTTATTAATTATTGTGTTATTATTATTTTTAAAATATATTTTATTGATTTCTTAGGAGAGGAAGGGAGAGCCATAGAGAGTTAGAAACATCGATGAGAGAGAAACATTGATCAGCTGCCTCCTGCATACCCGCTACTGGGGATGAGCCCGCAACCAAGGTACATGCCATTGACCGGAATCGAACCTGGGACCCTTCAGTCTACATGCCGACGCTCTAGCCACTGAGCCAAACCCGTTAGGGCTGTTGTATTACTTTCATAGGAACAACTGTGAACCTACTTTTGCCCCACCCTGTACTTGTGAAATGGCGGGGAAAGGAATACGGCGATAAGACAACTTGTCTGATTCCGCTTCCTCTGTGTCCTGTGCTCAGGATGGTGGGAACCGGGGGGGGCAACTCTGAGTCAGAGCAGACTGCCTCCCCACAGGTCCACTCCGAATGGGAGAGAAGGGAGTGCCCGGGGGATGGCACTGTCCCAGCGAGGGTGGCACCCCTCTCAGGTACAGGCGGGCCAGTCTGAGTGCAGGGAAACCTGCGGCAAACAGCGCGGGACCTTACTGTATATGAACGTTCTAGTGTTTTTTTTTAAAGACCCCACTCCAGAGCGGGAGCCTGCGCGCTCCGACACTCACCTGGAAATGCGGGGAGGAGTCTCTGGGCTCCCACACGTCATGCTGCTGGCCGCTGCCCCTCGCTGCCCACCAGGAAACCAAGGTGGGGTGGACTGTGTGCAGGCCGTAGGGGTAGAAGTTCCAGGCACCTGGACACAGAGGAGAGACTGGTTACCTGGCGGGGCCATGAGCACGAAGGCGCACACGCAGAGGGCTCCCGCCTACTCGGTATCGGCTACCCGGCCATCCTGTCCGGAGCTGGTCTTATCCTCGCGAGCCATATTGGCTGCGGAGTCTCCATCCAGCAGATGCCACACTTGTCACTCATCGGCCAGAGCAGATGGACCAGGAAGCACGTGGCTTTGAGTCAGGCCCTCTGCACACGCCCTCACGCTCTGCATTGCCAGCAAGCTCCCGGGCCCGCCCCTCTGCCCTTCAGCCTGGCACCGCGCATCTCCTGGGGACGCGCCAGGAAGACATCACCAGCTCCGCAGGGCGAGGGTGAAGCGCAGAGAAAACGGAGCTAACTCCTGGGAAAGTGCCCCGGACGGAACGCTGCGCAGCTACACTGGGCGCCGGTATTTTAAGGGCGATGCCGTTCCCCTGGGATAGGAACGGGAAATGAAAAGGAAATGCAGCGCTGGGAAAAGGTTCTGCCTTGGTGCTGGTAAGAGAAATACAAGGTGGACAGATGCTCCACCTATAAAACCAGCTCTCTAAATGCAATAAGCATGATCTTTGATTGCAAATTGGTATAGACATTAAAACTGAGTCTGAGGGCCATGGAGGCAAATCGTGGAATTGTGAAACTCACGTGAAACTGTCAAATGAAAAGTTGACACGTGTGTGTGTGTGTGTGTGTGTGTGTGTGTGTGTGTGTCCCATGACAGACTGGGACTGCCCCAAGATCAAAGGCACCTGGGGCTGTCCGGCCCACTCGTCCTGCCTCCTTTTCTGGTCGGTGATCACCGTCCCTCTGGTTTCAGTTCTGCTCAGCATGCCCCGCCCACACAGCCCTGCGCTGCCCATGGTTACTTGTGCACTTCACTCACACTCACACACACACACACACACACACACACACACGTGCGCGTGTCTCCTGTGGCCGCGGGTCAGCTCACCGTAGGTCAGGCCGGTCAGCAGCAGCAGCAGCAGCAGGAGGAACCACAGGAACGGCTTCAGGGACGAGAAGCGCCTGGACCGGGGTGGGGGGAGGGGGGAATGGGGGGGGGCGGGCAAGGAAGACGGACACGTCAGAGGCACAGGCCCCTCGGTCCCCCGGGAGTCCAGGGAGATTGGTTTCTGAGTGCTAACGTAACGGGGACATGACGGCCTGTGAACTTTACTGACGCCATTAAAAACAAGTAGTGGAGTCTTAAAAAAAAAAAACCCACTAGAATGTTCATATACAGAGGTCCTCTCTGCAAGCAAACAGAAAAAAGTAGGGCATTTTCTTTTTAGAAAAATGGGAGCACTTCTCTCAGTGCCCTGAGTCCATCCTTGCCCCTCTTCTCCGCAGAGCTGGCCCCACTCCCACCTGGATACGGCCAGGGCCACCCTGACCTCTGGCCTCTGCCTCTTCCTCTGCCGAAAGGCTCGCACGAGCCCGCAGCTCAGGCAGCCCTGAGGCCGGGCACCTGGGTCCAGGCCGCCCGGCAGAGGGAAATCACTGCGGGCTGGAGCCAGGCCCCGCCTGCAGGAGGCCCGGTGGCCTGAGACTCGGCCAGGCCCTCTGACTCGCCGTCCGGAGGAGTCCGCTCACCTGGTTAGAACGAAGACGTCCAGGAGGGAGGCCGCCGTCGTCAGGCGGTACCAGGTGGTGCCCACCCACCAGTAGAGGAGTCCGAAGAGCCGGCCTGGAAGAGGGACCGGCAGGCCTCAGTGCCGCCCGGAGGGGCGGGGCCTGCAGAGCACCCCTCCCGCCCCCTGTGGTTATCCCGGCCTCGCCGCACCCCGCCAGGCACCTCTCTCCTGCCCTCTGGCCACCAGCCCCTCTGACCACCCCTCCCCCACCCGCTCCACCAGTGCCCTGCCACAGCCGCTCCTGCCCTTCCCAACGCCAGGATGCTCCCATGGCTCTTGGCCCCTGGGATCGTTCTAGAATGAGCTTCCCGATGGTCCCACAGCCCCTCTGTGCGGGCTGGACACCAGCGGAGAGATGGCCGGAGGGGGCCGCTGCAGGGAATGGAGACCATCGTGCACAGACCACCAGCACCCACCTGGGAAGGTGACCACCGTCCAGAAGAAGGAGCCTGCCCGGGAGACCGCGCCCCGCAGCCTCGAGCCCGCGCCCTGCTGGGCCGCCTCCGAGTACCCTGCAGGGAGGGAGCGAGCGGCTCAGTCTCCTCTCTCAGGGGAGCCTGGCACGGGCACTGCCCGCCCGGTCTTCTCCTGGGACGGTGCCCTGGGACCCGCACCATTCCCCACATTCCCAGTGACACACCGGCTGGCACCGCGGCTGGTACGCGCCTGCTGGCGGAGCTTTCCACGGGTTTCTGACTCTACTTCCCCTGAGCTCCCTGCCTGCACCCCTCTCCTCCCCTCCCCGTGCCTGCACCCCTCCCCTCCCCCACTGCTCAGAACCAGACTCAGGCGTCAGGCACCCCCTCAGCCTGAGCCTGTGTGAAACGCTTCCTGGAAGTGAGCAAACAATGGCGTTGACCTTGACCGCAGGCCTAGTGAGGCAGGGACGGCCCAGGCTGGGGTTCAGGGAGCCACAGGCGCAGGAGGGACGCCAGAGGACCGGCGGAGGCGCCTGTCCAACACCAGGCTTCCCCAAGCTGTCAGGGAGCCCGGCGGATGGTCCTGGGCCCCGGACCCCGCTGGAGCGTCTGCCCGGGCTGAGCGGCACCTACCTACGTAGTCGTCCTCGGAGGAGTAGCCGGAGGAGGACCCCGGGAAGTCCTCGGAGAGCTTGGCCCCCACCAGCCCGTTGGTTTTGCTGCTCTCGGTGTCCCCTGTGCCTCTCCTCCTCCTCACCCGCACGTCCTCGCCTGTGGAGGGAAGAAGGCGGGGTTCTCCCGGGCTCAGAGATGCTGAGGAGGAGGGAACTGGGGGGGGGGGCTGTGGGGAGCCCCTGGTGGACTCTGCCGTGGCCTCTCCCGGAGGGTGAGCTGGGCCAGCCCCTCTGTCTCCAGAGGGCGCTTGGAGTGGCTATGTGGCTACTTCACCATCTGCAGGGACCTGGGGGGTGACACCTGGGGGTGACACCCGGGAGCCCCCTCTGGCCCCGCAGGCTCAGGAGCCCGGGTGAGGGAGCCGCACTGGGGGCCGGGTTTGCAGAGGAGGCAGAGCCCCGGAGAAGGCCCACTCACTCCAGTAGGGGTCAGCGTGCAGCTGGTCCTCGAGGATGGAGCTCCTGGCCAGCGAGGCGGCCCGCGGGCTGTAGTAGGACTCCCTGACCACGGACTCGCTGTAGTAGCTGTGGGTGTCCGAGGGGCCCAGCTGGGGCCCCGGGGAGAGGCGCTTGGTGCTGCTGGACTTCCTCTTCGCGGTCCTGCGGGGTCAGCGGGAGGGAGGGGAAGGTGAGCCGGTCGGGAAGCACAGGAAGCCAGGCTCTGCACTCCCGCGGTGAGTGGGCTGGCCTTGTTGCTAGGCAACTAACAGCCAGGCTACAGACGGGCGGGCACAGGTAGCTCCTCTGCTCCCGTTATCTCCTCATCTCAGCAGGCGAGATGGTCAAGGCGATGAGTGGAGATTCCAATCTGGGTCTGACTTCAAAGCCAGGCCTTTCTCTCACGCCTCCTAATGGTCAGTAATTTGTACAACTCCCCGAACCCCGACGGCCCGGGAGCCGCAGGGCTGCTCTGAGGGCCGCGTCTGCGAGGGGGGGGTGCGGGGCACCGCCTCACTATCTCCGGGCGCTGGGACCCTCCTCTCCTCGGAGGCCGCACCGGCGAGACACACAGTGGCGAGACACACAGTTCGGGTCGGGCCATGACGGAGGCCTGCCCCCCACGGCAGACGGGGTTCCGGCAAGCCCGGCCGGTGGTGCGGTTTCCGGCCTGGCTTCTTCTCGGAGCTGCCTCTCCCCACTTCCTGTTCCCTGAGCACAAGGCACAGCCTGGCTCCCAGGAGGGGAAGTGGTACTCATCCTGGCTCCTCATAGGAGGGGGTGTCCCCTGCACTTATCTCCGCCCGTGAAGGTCAGGACGGGGAGAGGCTGTGCCGGGATGCCCAGCCCGCTGCTCTGCGCTGCAGCACGATCCACAGGGTGGGGGTGGGGGTGGGGATTAGGGTGAAGGTGAGGTTGGGGGTGAGGGTAGGGGTGGGGGTAAAGATGGGGGGGTGAGGGTTGGGGTGGGAGTGAGGGTGAGGGTAAGGGTGGGGGTGAGGGTAAGGGTGGGGGTGAGGGTGGGGGTGAGGGTAAGGGTGGGGGTAAGGGTGGGGGTGAGGGTGAGGGTGGGGGTGAGGGTGAGGGTAAGGGTGGGGGTGAGGGTGAGGGTGAGGGTAAGGGTGGAGGTGGGGGTGGGGGGCGAGGGTGGGGGTGGGGATTAGGGTGAAGGTGAGGTTGGGGGTGAGGGTAGGGGTGGGGGTAAAGATGGGGGGGTGAGGGTTGGGGTGGGAGTGAGGGTGAGGGTAAGGGTGGGGGTGAGGGTAAGGGTGGGGGTGAGGGTGGGGGTGGGGTGAGGGTGGAGGTGGGAGTGAGGGTAAGGGTGGGGGTGAGGGTGGGGGTGAGGGTGGGGGTGAGGGTGGGGGTGAGGGTGAGGGTGGAGGTGGGGGTGAGGGTGAGGGTGAGGGTGGGGGTGAGGGTGGGGGAGGTAAGGATGGGGTGGCAATCCCCTACCGGAAAGGACTGTCCTTGAACAGGGTGCTCTGGCTCCCGGCCACTGAGCTCCCGCCACTGCTGCTGCCGCCGTCATCGTCCGCCTGGGAGTAGCGGGTGAGGCGCTGGCTTCGACGGGACATGGTGAGGCGGGATGGGACCTTCCCCTAAAGAGTCTTGGGAGAGAAAGGACGGCAGGTGAGGCTTGGGGCCGTGGGAGACCCTACCTGGCGGGGGAGAGACCAGGCATTTTTTCATTCAGCACAGCCTGCGGTGAGGGAGACCCCCCTGGGCTCCCGCAGTGCCAGGCTTGTTAATTTTCGGTTCATCTGTCACTGAGCTGGACTGGCCTTCCGCAGCCTTGCATGTGCACGTGAGGCACACACACAGGTGATGCTGAAGGAGGCCTGGATCACTGCCGCCCGCACAGCCCCGCCAGCCCGGCCGCTCCCCAGAACAGGGTCCACGCTCATCCCAGCCGTTTCCCAGGGGAACACGCTCTCCTTTTCTTTCCTGCAGCTCCCCTCAGAGACCAGGGCCCCAGCCAAACCGTGACGCCGGGACCCCTTTCCCCGGCCCAGCCCCTGCAGCTCTGTGCCCTTGGCTAGTTGCTATCCATCAGCACATCTCGCTGTCATGGTGATGATAACACACTTAGTAAATGCCTCCTAGGAACCTGACCCCTACAAGCCAGGCAGGCATCGTTAGTCCAGCGGACAGCGGAGGAGCCTGGGACCCGGCTGGTGGGTGACCTGCCCACAGCACCAGCCCCTCAGTGACTGAGCCGGGGTTTAGCTCAGATCTGACATGTGACAGCGCTGGCTCTTCCCACCCACGGTGAAGTGACAGGTTGTTTCAGGAGCGTGTGGTGTGGCCCCAACGAGAGCCCCCGCGGCCTCAGACATGCTCAGAACGGGCTGCAGAGAAAGTTGTTACACAACAGACATTTGTTAACAAACTAACGAAACGGGCAGTGGAGCAGAGTGTGGGAACACAGGGGCGGAAGCCAAGGCTGGAACTGATGAGGCCAAGGAGGTGGCAGGGAGGGGTGGGGGGGAGAGGCCTGGCAAAAGGTGCTGTGCTGCGCCGGCCTGTCTGGCTCAGTGGAAAGAGTGTTGGCCTGCAGACTGGAGGGTCCCGGGTTCCATCCCGGTCCCAGGCATGTACCTCGGATGCAGGCTCTGGCCCTGGATGGAGCATGTGTGAAGGCAGCCCTCTGATGTGCCCTCTCACAAGGATGTTTGTCTCTCTCCCTTCCACGCTCACTAAGAACCAATGGAAAAATATCCTCAGGTGAGGATTAACAACAAGACAAAAAAAGAACAAGTGTGAGCTCTCCTTTTAAAAAAAACAAAAACAAACAAACAAACAAAACCCTCGGGCAGTCCTGCCACGGGAGGACTAAGAAGCTCCAGAAACCCACATTCAGAATCTCGGGCGACAACGCCGCCTCTGCCAGCCACGTCAGTCACGGCGACCTCGGCCCACTCAGAGGTCCTGGTCCCTGACACCTGCTATCACTTCTGAGACATTTAAACGACGAGTTCTCTCTCACACATCCCGACTCAGGCTGCGGAAACCAGAAGGTCTGGTTCGTCCAGCTGGCGGGTTCTAGAAAGTTCTCTTGTGAAGAACAAGCAGCCTCACGTCTGGGTCTCCCTGGCGTCTCCTGGGGCGGGACGCTCACCTGGCATCTCCCTCTGGCTCCAGCCGGGCTTGGTAAAGGGCTGGTGGCGGTAGCCGAAGCCGGAAGTGGGCCTGGGTTCTGGTCTCTAGTCCTCGCCTTATATGGTAACTCTCTCCCCTCCTGCCCTCCCACCTGGGGCTCCAGCTGCCCACACCGCCCCTCCTCAACCCCCGCCCCGCTGCGCGGAGGCCTCCGCCGTGGGGCAGAAACAAAGCCATGTGTTTACCCAGCACTGACGGCTGTCCGCCCTGCGGCCTCCCCAGGGGCCGGCCGCTCGGGGGCACGCTGGGATCACAAAACAGCTTGCAACGGGAGTGTGGGTTTCACAAGAGGAAAAAGGTCAAGGTTTCCTCCTCCAAAACGGAACAGCAGATTAGCTTCTAGAAGCTCAGGTCTTTTGCATAGGAGAGTAGACAACGCCCCCGAGACACACACACACACACACACACACACACACACACACACACAGGATCAGTCACCCCTCCCCACTTCTGAGCTGGGCCACATCCTCTTCTCAGTGCCACCTTCCTCCGTGCCCATCACAAACTTGTAGGACCCTGTAAACTCAGGGTCCAGACTGGACGCAGATCCTGGGGACCTCCCGCGCGGGCCATTCCACTCGGGGCCCTGCCCACCAGTCTCGCTCCGGTGTCAGCTCTCCTCCCTCCCCAACCACAGCCGCCCCGCCGCCCGCTTGTTCGGAACTCCCGGCCGGAGTTGTGAAAGGCGGCGGCTGGGCACTGCCTGTCCCTGGACGCTGCCCGCCTGGCACGGGGACATGGGCAGTGCCCGGGGCTGGCCGCAGGCCGGGTCCTCACTCTCCTCCCCCGGAGGGAGGTCCTGCCCCGGGAAGTCCCGCCTGGGGACATCCGCCCGGGGGGACCGGCGGCGGCGGCCCGGGGCGGGGGCCGGCGTGAGTCAGGGCGCCGCTGGCCTGGGCACCGCGGCCCCTGCGGGCGGGCCCAGGGGCGGGGCTGGAGCCGGGCCCAGCGGCCGGAGGAGAAGCAGGCCGGCAGCCCGGCCATGGCCGGAGCGGCCCAGGCATGAGCAGGGCCAGGCGGGGCCCGGCGCCGCGGGGAGGCGGACAGGGCCGGCCACCCCCCTCCCCGCCCCGCGCGGCTGCTCGCCGGGGCCCGCGGCCGGTGTTACCTGCGGTCCCGCGGGGCCGGGGTGCGAGGCCCGCGCTGCCCCCGGCGCGCCCCTCGGCGCCGGGATCCGGGAGGCTCTGGTGCGGCCGGGCGCAGGGGGCGGCGGCGGCAGCGGGGCGGCGGCGGCAGCGGCGGACAATGCGGCCCGCGCACAACTGCGCCGCGCGAGTGGGGCCGGGCGGCGCGCGCGTGGCCGAGTGTGTATGTGTGCGCCTGTCTGTCAGCCCTGACAGGCCGCCGTCCATTGGCCAGGCCCCGCCCCCGCCCCGCCCCCCGCCGCCGCCCATTGGGCGGTTTGAACACAAAGGCCCCGGCCGGCTCCGCCCGCCGCGTGGGCCCCGCGGGCCGGGCGCGCCCGGGGAGGAGGCCGCGCGTGGGAGACGCGGGCCGAGGGCGACGTCTGGGCGCCGAGGACTCAGCGGCCGGCGGGGGCGGGGGCGGGGGCGGGGGCGGTCGGCTGGGTCTCGCTGTCACTTGACTCCGGTCCAGGGGGTCACACACCTCGCGCGCCGCGCACCTCGCGTGGCCTCCGGGGCCGCGGCTCCCAGCGCCCCCGGCTGACTCGATGAGGCGGGAATGCGGGCAGATTGCAGGCCTGGGTGGTGGGCACATCTGTCCGGGAGGATGGCCGAGGGGGGCCACCCACGTAGTGAGTAGTGAGCTCCCCTTGAACTCTCCATGAACTATCCACGGCGCCGGCGTAATTGTCTCCTAGCCTTTGGACACCCGTTTTACAGATAAGGAAACCGGCTCCTAGAGGTCTTAAGTGATTTGCTTCAAGTCACACATTGAGATTAGAAGGTTCTCTTCACATCCAAGCCCGCATTTCCCATTGTAGGTGGATTTGGGGGTTCAGACGTGGCAGGAGGCTCTGCCGTTGCCCAATCTGTCCCCAGGGCCCCCCAGTCTCCCCGCCGAAGCCTCTCTCCGCTGTGAGGAGGGAGCTGGTGCTCGGAGGCAGGCTGTCCGAAAGGAGCGGGGATGGATGCCAATTAGGCAAAGGCTGCCTGTGCCCTCCTGCCCGCAGGCCCCGGGGGTCCTGTGCCCTGGGTCCCCACAGACCCAGCTGGGAGGAGTGGCTTCCTCTGCAAGCTCTTTAGCGGAAGGCGGAACAGGCTGTCACTATTTCACTTTGAAGTGCCAAGAGAAAGAGGCGAGAGATGACAAAATCTCAGAGACAGGACAGGAAGGAAGCACTCCATACGGCACTGAGGACATTTGAAGCTGATTGTGTACAAAAACCGACCCTCTGCCCGGTTGGCCTCCACGCCCCCCTTCCCCCCAGGAGACAGGTCTCCCCTGTACTTAGGGCATCTTAAAGACAACGGTGCTGCCAGTGCTGCTTCTGGGTTAGATGGGGAGCTCCCTGAGGCCAAGGGCCAGCTCTGTCGGACCCAGCACAGCGCCTGGCTGGTGTCTGAGTTCCTGCGGGGAGTCAGATTCAGGGGCAGCGAACATGGAGGGGCAGGGTGCTTCACTCCCCTCCTGTCCTGACAGAGTCTCCAGATCCACCATCTCCCTGGCAGAGCCTGCGTCCCCTCCCCCGGGTTCCTGGCACAACCACATCCCTGCCAGGACGGGCTGGTCTGTGAAGTGGGAGGCCATGTGCCTTCCACTGGTCCAGGCCAGGCCGTGGCCACAGGCGGGGGGGGGGGGGGGGGGCGGGGGGAGAGACAGGCCCTCGCACACTGCGGCCTCCAGGCGCCTTTAGTAGGTGAATAATAGGCCCACTCCCTGGAAGCTGTGAACATTGCCAACACGTGGGAAGTCTTGGCAGATTCAATTAGACCAAGAATTTTGAGAGCACACACTATCCTGGGTTACCAGGGCGGGCCCTCCGTGCAATCAGTGTCCTTTTAGGAGAGGCAGAGGAGGAGAGGGCAGTGGGGCCACAGAGAGACGGAGAATGTGGTCACAGACCAGGAACGCTGGCAGCCACCAGGGGCTGGGAGAGAGCGATGGATGCTCCCCTAGAGCCTCCAGAGGGAGCGCGGCCCCGCTTTCCGCCCAGATTTCTGCCCAGTGGCTTGGATGTTGGACGCCCGGCCGTCTGGACGGAGCGAAAGTTTCTGTCGCTGCACGTCACCAAGCACGTGGTAGTTCGCCACAGCAGCTATTGGGAAGGAAAAGGAGCTGGGAGATGCTTGTGTAAGGCTCCCATGATACACAGGCCCCTCCCTCGGTCCTGGCTGTCCTCACCGACACCCCTGTCTCCCACCTCTCCCCCCCACCCCCCACATCTCCCTGCCATCTGCTCGCTCAGCCTCTCTGCCCTCCCCATTCCCCTCTGCCTGGCTGCCATTCCTTT